AGTTTTTTTCCACCAGGAAGGTACCAAGAGGGCATCTCAAGTTAACTCACTTGTAAGGGCACCTTGCATGACACTACATAATATTTTCTCCAATGGAAGGGCATTCATTAGGACAATTGCCCACATTCTCACACATGGATGGACACCTTGTACAACACTGCATCACATTTTATCCACCAGAGGGCCACCTGTTTGGCCACTTCATGTGTTCCTGCTACTTAGGAGTGGGAATCCTTTACAGTTGGGGTGACCAACGCTTGCTACTGGGACTGGTACTGGTTTGTTGCCAGTATTCCACCAATCTGCGGTATGCTGGGGTTTTGCAGAGAGGTTGATTGATTAATTAATTACAACATCTGAAGATGATCTAACAAAAAATTTGGTGTTGTTGATGGATTTTGTAAAGAATGCGCTGTCACGCTCTTGCTGCCATACAAATGCAATCAATACGCAAGTATGACATAGTTCATGGTTTCAGAATTGCCACATAGACTTATTTCAATAAAACGAGCATAGTATCAAGTACTATCAAGTACCACAGATCACTTGGATGTCCATTCTGATGTTCTTGTTTCCTTCATGGAAAAATCTAAAAACAACAAACTCTCTTACAGTCTCCTTCACATATGTAAGACTTCTTTTACATGGTAAAAAATATGAAAATGATGGTTAACTGCCTAGACCCAGGGCCAGAGGTTAAATCTGAGATGTCTCCATCTCTGAAAATAAAGTTCATGGTTTATAGAAAGACTGGATAAAAATTCTTACTTTAGTCATAAAATGCGCAGTACCTTGCATATACAACATTACCTGCTTCACCACATTGAATTCCCGAAGCAGCGCTCTGTCAAAAGCTCCGATCCACTTTGCAGCATGCATGCACAGCCCCTAATCCCATACACTCACATCCAGCGTGCAGGAGGCGGATATCATATTACGCCATGGTCATGGTATTGAAATCTCGCGATACTTGAAAGGTGCGTAGTAGAGAGGCAGAGAGAGATTGGGTATTTTAGAACGGAGATCCGGAGTGGAGACCCTGTTCTGTGTGCCGCACGTACGGAAAGCGAATCATGGTAAGTGGGTTCTCTTCATTTTTCTTTTTTCTTCCTTCTTTGTGCGTCCAAATCAGGTATTATGCATGGGTATGAGTTTACTTGGATCTAAAATATATTTTTTTAATTACCCTTTGAACGGATGAAATTACGATACTTTTTTGCGTAGTTGAAACGTGGCCTACCAGCAAACGTGATTACACACTTCAGATAGTAATAAAGCCGTTTCAGTACTAATTCGTAATATACAAACCCAATTTTAAACCATATTGTTTTCGGGGAAAAGAAATCAGTATAAACATCATTATTTCTGACCGCGCATGTAGCTATCTGCTAGGCCTCAGTCAGAAACAAACATTTTTCTTGGCGAAACAAACGTTCCAATTCGTTTTGTTAAAATTAGTCATAAATACAAAGTTAATCTGCACGGTGTATTAAACATTATATTAAAAACTGATCCTGTTGCTTAATATTATCCGGTCCACAACCGCATTGGCGGCCCACGTGGTCGATTTTTTTTTTTTTTTTTTGTAAATGTGCGCAAAGTTTACTTTTGTTATGGACATTATTTATGACATATTATTATTGGGTTTTGCCATTAGTAAAATATCCCACACTCCAGGTGCGTTTTGAATTTCCGGACGCCACGTGGTTCCAGCGCGTGTCCGCTGTAAAAAACAGGGCCTTTCCCCTGAGAGACCCATCATACGCTTTCTTTGAAAATTTTCTTTTGTACGTCTATTATATGCCAAAAATGAGTAGAAACGTACATGTTGTATTTTCGTATCACCGTTGCAACACAGGTGCTGCTGCACGTGCTGTTCGAGCACGCGGCGGGCTACGCGCTCTTCGCCGTGAAGGAGGTGGAAGAGATCGGCATGCTGCTTCCGCAGGTCGCTTACACAATCGGGGACTTGGCTTCAGGCGGGGTAACGGAGAATGCATGGCGTCCGCTATGGCTAAATTTTGCTGTTTGTGGAATCTCTTTAGGTAGAAGAAAGTGTGCTCAATATTGGAAAACTCAATAATATCCTGAAACTGGCAGCGTTCTTCCCCTTCAAGTCTGCTCAAGCTGCTCTGGAAAACATAAATGCCGTTTCTGAAGGTGAGGTGACTCCGTATGCATGTTAGTAAGTTATGGATATGGTCTGTTCATTCAGATGTTATGATGTTTCAATCTGTCAATCCACTGATGAATAGTGACGTCAACATACCATACCACTGAACGTCTGAGCAGTACTATTGTACATCTTGTAATCTTAAGTGCAGAAATTGTTATTCTGATCCGTATGTTTGATTCACTGTATAGGAGTTGTGCATGCCGACCTTAAACTATTTCTTGAGACTAACCTGCCCCCTGGTGGGAAGAAGAAGAAAGTGCTTCTGGGTGTGTCTGACACGAAGATTGGAGCAGCATTGCAAGAGGAGATTGGGGTCTCCATCCAGACTGGGGGTGTTGTGGCTGAACTGATGAGAGGTACGGTGTCTCTTAAATGCCTTGATTTTGTATTAATTCTCCAGTTAGATTTAGCTGGGATTCAAAGAGAGCCTGTTCTGTGATGATATTCGGATGAATGCTGATCTTGATGATGGTTCATACTGAAAATCTGAACAGTCAGGCTTCCGTGGTAGACACTATGTCTTCCTGTGCACACTGCCCCCTTCTCACATTTGCACCGCCCCTCTGCCCCCTAGGTATCCGTGTGCATTTCCATTCTCTTGTGAAAGGCCTGACTGATCAGGCTGCTTCCAAAGCCCAGCTTGGCTTGGGGCATAGCTATTCCAGAGCCAAAGTCAAATTTAATGTGAACAGAGCTGACAACATGATCATCCAGTCCATTGCTCTTCTGGACCAGCTGGACAAAGACATCAATACATTCTCCATGCGTGTGCGGTATGTATACTGATTGGAGTCTTCCCTCTGACCTGGTGCCTTGCCAGTCCTCCCAATGCTTACCACAGACAGCACACATTGTGGCTGGCTGTACAGAAAGAGGAGGTACAGTAATTCTGCCTTAATGTCACACCCAGGGGAAGGTCACCCTTCCGTACTGGGTAGGGATACTGTACAGGGAGGAACATCATGCTTTTGTTGTGTTTGTGGGGCAGTTTTTTGTTGGGCTGGGTGGTTTTAAGATGCTTTCCCTTTGCGTGCAGTGAATGGTACGGCTACCACTTCCCAGAACTTATCAAGATAGTGAGCGACAACACCACGTACTGCCGCTTGGCGCGGCTCATCGGCAACCGTAAGGAGCTTAGCGAAGAGTCCTTGGCGACATTGGAGGAAGTGGTTATGGATAGTGCTAAGGCTCAGGCCATCTTGGATGCCTCACGCAGCTCCATGGGTGAGTGCATGCCGCACATCGCCTGCCACCTCGAGTTTCGTCGCCCAGTTTTGAAGATCCAGTAGATTTGAATCCCTTTGATTTCACATGCAGGTATGGACATATCCCCCATCGACCTAATTAACATCGAGAGCTTCTCCAGCCGGGTCGTGTCCCTAGCAGAGTACAGGCTGGAGCTCCAGGAGTATCTGCGCTCGAAGATGGGGCAGGTGGCCCCAAACCTGGCTGCCCTCATTGGCGAAGTGGTACGTGGTGCATTCCAACATACACCTCTGTATGAACCACTGAGTGTTTGTGGTCGGCACCAACTCCCTCCTTTTCCTGTCTAGGTTGGGGCTCGTCTTATATCCCACGCCGGCAGCTTGACCAATCTGGCGAAGTACCCCGCCTCCACAGTGCAGATTCTGGGAGCTGAAAAGGCCCTGTTCAGGTACTGCCCCCATTCTTGGGGGAATAGGGGTGGCTGTAATGATGGCAGGGCCAGGGCTGAGTCTGGGTGATGGAGTGCAGAAATGCCCCGATGATCCTTAATGCCCCTGTGTGCCCAAAGGTCTGAGCAGCCATCCAAAGCACTGGAAGGAGGTACTTTACAGGGGTAGAGGGGGTTTGGCTTAAAATGACATGTATAGGGCATAGAAAACGTATGCTTTGGTATATAGCCTTAGTTGTAGATATGTAGAGCCTGATGATGATCCCAAATGAACCACCATGGTGGGTCCTGCCTAACATTAGAGCTTTGAAGACTCGAGGAAACACTCCTAAATATGGGTTGATCTTCCACTCCACCTTCATCGGCCGCGCTGCAGCCAAGAACAAGGGTCGCATCAGCCGCTACCTGGCAAACAAGTGCACCATCGCCTCGCGCATTGACTGTTTTTCAGGTGTGTGGAGTTGCGCCTGCTGGATGTCTAGTTTGTGACGTTTCTCATGCGAAAAGACATTCAATTATCCTTGACCCCCCCCCCCCTCCCTGTTTTTGCAATGATGTCTATTTTTCGTCAACAGTATTCCACCTTCTGGGTGGGTGTTGAGTTTCAAAAACTGAGCAATGTCTGAGCTTTGCACCTGTGCCTGGTCCCCAGCCCTCAACGCAATAATAACCCCTTACCGTGTCTTCAGAGGTACCCACCAGTGTGTTTGGGGACAAGCTGAGGGATCAGGTAGAGGAACGCCTGTCCTTCTATGAGACGGGAGAAACGCCACGGAAGAACCTTGATGTGATGAAGGAGGCTGTGATCGAGGTGGGTTCGGATTCCCTGTAGCACATCAGGTTTTTGAACTGTCAACCATGGTATTCTTGCCTGACTCTCACATGGAGGTGAAATACTGATTTAATGAGCCTGACACGGCAGTCCCAACAATATAACTTCCTGTCAGTTTATCAAACTGGAGAGATGCTTGGTGCTTATCTTGCTATGTCATTGCCCTGTCAGGCTGGAGAAGTGGCTGCTGAAATCAAGCGCAAGCTGGACAAGAAAGAAAAGAAACGAAAGAAGCGTGAAAAAAGAAAGTTGGAAGCCCTTGCTGATGCAGAGGATGATGACGGAGTGAACGCAGAGACCAATGGGGAGGTACGTAGAGGGCTGCCCTGGCGCGCCAAGCATGACATGATTTATGATTGGACCCACGCCATGGTCCTGTCATAGTGTACGGCATGCTAGAGTAAACTACTCCGAACCATTGACGGGCATTTGACCGTATGCCTGAATCACTGAAGGGGGTAGAACAGCTGGACCTGGTTGCTTGACATTTCGTGACCATAATTATGTCCTCCTGTCAATCTCTAAAGCAGGAACATGAAGAGACTGAGGCAGATGTTGTGGTGAAGAAAAAGAAAAAGAAGCATGCAGAAGAGGAGATGACGATTGAGAATGGCACTGAGATGAAGAAGAAAAAGAAACGGAGTGAGGTGGTAGAAGCAGAGCTTGTAGAGGAGCCACCACAGCCGGAGAAGAAGAAGAAGAAACATAAGAGTGGAAACTCATAGACTGCTGTTTCACTGTGATGGGAGTCCAGTGCAACCTCTGCATGGCTCCAACCCACCATGTGTATAAAGTGTAATTATTCCCCCTCCCCCTTGCGTTAGTCAGCTGAAGCAGCAGCCTTGCTGTAGGTGGTTCAAATACTACGTTAGTGGGCTGGCTCTGTCGTCTATGGACTGACCTTCATATGCTCATCGATGCCTTTTTGTTTCTGGCTGAAATTTTTATTAAATGTTGAAAGACACTACAGATGTGCGAGTGTTTCCTCTGGCCAGGTTGTGTGTGTGTGTGTACATACACACAGTGGTTCTAGGTATAGAATGCAAAATGCCTAGATAGCTGGATATTTCACCAAAAGATCCCTTAAAGAACTGGTCTGGGCCAGCGTGTGGCCTACTGGGTTAGATTAGAAGGTTGCTGGTTCAAGTCTTGTGCTGGTACTCTCCACCATTGGATCCTTGAGTTTGGCCCTTTAAACCTCAACCTCAAATGCTGGCTAATTCTGTGTTGTGGTGGTGAGGTTTCCTTTCACCTGTTAGAGGGCCACATTGGACAGGTGAAAGTGTCCCCATGGGGATGAGTAATGAATCAACTTTCATATGAGACAGCTAAGGATGAGGATCACTTCTGGTCCCAGTACACTGCAAATATCACATTTTAACGTTCAAGTTGAGTTTAGTGGGTTCATGATGTGAGAACTGGAATCGCATTTTGTAGTTCCCAGCACATTACCATTGAATGATTGCAAAATTAGGGACAAGGAACAGCTCAACTTTTATTGGTGAGCAACAATGACAGGGGATGTGTCATCCACCAGGAATATTTCTTAACTTCAGTCCTTAGAAAGAAAAGTGAAGCTCCCAGTTGTGTTTCTGCTGTATTAGTTGTGTGGTGTCAGTCTGTCCTTCCAGTCACGATGCCTGTCATGGGCTGGTTCTTCATAAAAATACCCTTCAGCACAAAATACAGGAACCACATTTCATGTTCTACTTGCAGTACATAAATGCACATTTTAAAACCAATGGATGACTGTTGGTAATTTGTGAAGCAAGACAAAATGGTCATTTATACTCAGCTCTGGTTGGGGGTAAAATGGGGGCAGTAGCAATGTTCCTACCCTTGCCATGTCTCAGTTGCCCCAGTAAGGGGAGCTTCCATAGGTAGCTTTGGTGGCCTGAGACATGGACTGGGTGCGTTGACTGCCCTGTTTATAAAGGAATAATAAAAAAACACAATTGATGGCATAACATAAATTCCGTAGCATTTCAAATACTGTGATACTAAAGAACCTGAAACATAGGAATTTAGGTTCTATTGGTGAGTGTAGGTTCTACCTTCATAGCTGAACGTTTGGGTTTGGGGGGGGGGCACCATGTGACCAGTGCATTTTTTACACAAAAGTTGATGTTGCCATTAGTTGTGCCGAAAGACACAGAGCAAAGGCTGGGAAGCCCACCTGGCTGTCCTGCGGCAGAGGCTGGGGCACCAGGTGGCCCTGGGGTTGCTGGTGTGCTGGGAGGATGTGGAGGAAGGGGGCTGGAGCATAACCCGGGCCTCCCCCTGGATTCAGGGGCCCAGAACTGGCCAGTGCCGGTGGCAGACTGAACGGTGGCGTCGTCCCAGTGTGGAAACCCTGCTTATCAAAGGCCTGGTTCAAAAACGATGGCGTCAGGATCTACGTGAGAAGACGACTATGCCATGCTGGATTACTGTAGCTCTCACCTGGGTCTTATAAACTGAAGCACTACTGTCTGTTGCACCAGAGCTGGATGTCACAGAGACGACTGCAACAGAGAAAAGGAAGAAGGTGCAAAAGTGGCATTTCCCTCATCCGAGGAAGCAGAACCTGCAGTGTTCTAACTTGCTGTCCTCTTCTGTGCAGATTTCCCACCCGTAGTCTTTACTGGGCCAGGAAGCTATAGCATGACAATGTGAACATGCCTTACCTTTTCCTGAACCTGCAGCAGAACTTTTTGCCTGTGCCTGGGAGAGACCATTGTATCCTTTATTGTACTCCCCCGTGCCTGGGGGGCCCTGTGTCAGATTGTCATACCCTTGAGGGTGGGGAGAAGCATTTCAGCAAAAAGTTCATTTTTAACATCACCCCCCACCCACAATTAAAACATTGAAAATCAGACTGATTAGAAGTATGATAAAAATTATTAGACGTAAATCTTCACGTTTTGCACATTTAACAGTACGATGTATATAATGCAATGTAAGCTGTCCTGTATGAAAACACTGTTATCAGTGTAGCTGAAAGTAAACCTCAGCACTGACTGGGCCCATCACAGCATAACAAGCTCTGTGTTTTCTGCCAGGAGGGTTTCTCCAAAGTTCAGCCCTCAAAGAAAAGTTAAGCTCCCAAAAGTGTTTTTGCAAGGTCAGTTGCGCGATCAGTCTCTTCTTCCTGTCATGACACCTGTTTTATGAACAAGAGTGAACTTTAGATGTGGTGGTTGGGTGCGCTCACCTGAGCCATACGAATGCTGCTGCAAAGGCCCGGGCCCCCCCCCGAGCCCCACTCCCTGCTGCTTGGCCGAGGCAGGAGGTGCAAACACGGTGGGGCTGTACTGAAAGGTGCCGGGGACCCCTGCCATACTGGGGTAGTAGGGTATGCCAGGGTAGCTGTAACCAGGGGGTAGGGCTGGGTTGAGAAACGTCTGCTGGGAGTTGTGGTTCTGCGGCTGGTTCTGGGGAGGCGGTGCTGGCTGTGTAGGCAGGGGTGTCGACATGGTGGGGGCCGGGGCTGGTGAGTCAGCCCTCCCAAACTTTGTTACTTCGCCTGTCACAGTGAGAAAGGCAAAGCGTAATGTCAGTGTGGCAGACAGGAAGTGAACACGAGACAGGAAGTGCACAAGTCCCTTCACAAATGGAGAAAATCAAACAAGTGTTTTCAGGTGGTATTACCTGAATAAGAGCTATTGGGTAGATTTCCTTCTCTGCTCGAAAGTGGCACAGCAGGGCTTGGAAAAGCCATCCCATAGTAATCCTGAACAGATGGGCATGTTACTTTCACTTCAATCACATATTACTTACCCATCCCTGTCCGTCACTAAGTTGGCAACAAAACCCAGCAACTTAAACACACAAGCTCACCCTAAGCAAGTTACTGCAACTAGCAGGTAAAGCATGGATTGCTTAAGTGGCCCCACAAAGTGACACTCAGAGAACATCCAGCTGCTGGGTGGGTTTCCTTACCATGGGGAGTCGGGACTGTAGTGCATGGAGGTCTTCATAGCCATAGATCTGCTTAGGGACATGAAGAACATACACTGCACGTCACTATCACAGAGTTACGCAAAGGCACTGCACAGCACAGACCTAAGTGCTAGGGATGTCACAAGAACCAATACTTTGGTAAGTCGATGTGTTACCATAACGGTATCCATTTTTCTGCAGTACCGACTATTTCTGCATGGAATTTCACTGGTATTGATACTGACAGTTACATGTCTGGTAGCGTGACATCCCTGCTTTGAGCTGAGTTAAAATCCAAACCATTATCGCACGTTGATCTCATACCGGGTATGCAGGAAGAAGCCCCCCCGGGCCAACGATGTACTGACTGGGAAGCAGCGGCGGCACCCCCTGTGTGAGGTTTGGGGGGGCTTTATCTGTGGGAGAAGTAGAGGCCCCACTGGTAACACCAGTAAAATATCTACTGCAGTGCTCATTTAAATGGGGAAATTAACAAACTTCATGCTGTTCCTTCATGTTTAATGTGCAACAAAAATGTACTGTAGTTTCCCTCAAATGAAGGAATGTATCCGCAAGTATAGACACAAACAACACAAACTGTTCTGCATTTTCCCTTGAAATCGAGTTGCTTTTGGAGTCATTCTTGCAGTCGCCGTCTTACTTGATGATGGTGGCAGTGGTGCCGTGCGACACATCGAAGGCACTGCTGTCCTGTTTCCAATCAGACCGAGGCCACCTGAGGCCATGGCCCAACCACTGACAGCCCCAGGGTCTGACCCTGACAGGCAGTTTGGGGTGTCCACACTGGAGTTCTAAGGGGGCAGGACAGGAGAGAGGAGCTATGACACATGTAGAGGTTCAAAGAGTAACATCTCACACATTCACGCACAAGTACTACGTGAACAACACCACAGTAACACATTTCAAACATGCACATCTATTTTGTGTTTCTACTAAAATAATTTACTTTTTAAATAATTTAATATTGCTCTTAACTACAACAAAATAATGATTGTGTTTCACCACTAAATCCAGCTCTTTCCTAACAGATTCCTATCACTAAATTTCAATGACAAGGAAAAATGTGAATTTGCATTAGGAGGTACTGTGTCTCAGTACATATAGTAAAGGACACTCAAAATAGACCCTAAATTTGTTGTCATTTACAGGCTCACAGGAGTGAGTATTTGATCCGTTCACCATCAAATTCTCATTTCCGGCACCAGTCAGGTGCCAGATCTCAGAGTCTGTACCATATATACACATACATATGGAACGCTGACGTGAACCATTAAGTGCCTTCATGTAACAAAACAGACTCACCGATACAGAGGAGGACGCACAGCTGGAAGAACTTCCATTTAACATGGCACTAAAGGAAGAGGATGAGGAGAAGTTACTGTGGTTCATAAATCCCCCAACAGTCGCTCACTGGCATATTAAATACCATTCATGCTCCAAACAAAGTTCAGCAACCACTACAGACAATTGAAAATGTTAAAGAAAAGAAAGATGATACATTTCACTACTGAAAACTAAGGGGTCAAATAAAATTTCTACTTACACACAGAAAAGGAAAGAAAAATCACAGAAGAATAAGTCACAAATGGGAGTTCTTACTCAAAAGGCATTCAGTACTAACCAAAGCCCATCTGAGACAGTCTGTACAGAACAGTGCAAGCATGCTGTGCCCCTGCCCACCTGCTGTGGTCAGCCAGTGCTTCAGGTACCCGGACGGGCAGCACGCTGCTGTCTGTGGGCACCAATGGGGCAGCTGTACCACTGGAAGGGGCCTGAGAGGGACTGTCTGCTTTGGGGGTGGTAGTGCTGGGCAGAGCTGGGAGGGAGCACACAGTATGCCAGTAAATCCTAATGGTCAATTAACTACAAACAGTGCAACAGTGATCTGCGAGAACGTGCAGCATGAAGCTGGAGATGCAGGGTTTATTAAATCAGGGCCATTTGGAGATGGCAAGGTGGATACTACAAGAACTACAATGGGGGTTTATGACCATAATTCTCTGTGCCATAACAGTATGAACTGTAACAGATGCACAGTAAATGTATTTGCTAAAAATCTTTGTAATACTGTGTTCCAGTCCAACTTGGTTTTATTCTGCTATACCTGACACTAGTTTAAACAAAGCTTCAAATCATACATACTATACACATATGCAGTACTTGTAGTGCCAAACATACAAGGTATAAAGACCATACACAATAGTGCAAACAAAGTAAAGATATTGCAAACAGATTTTAGACAGTACATAAGTAAATATATTTTGAAAAACAGAATGTGATGCTGAAAATAAATATTGGTTCAAAACCGGTCACAGCATTTTATTTGTCAATCTGGAGCAATCACACAATACATAGGACAGATGCAAACTGTATTTCCCAAAGACTTAATTGCACAATGACATGATCAGTGTAAATTTATAGTTCAGTATACAGTAAATTTACTGTATACAGACAAAATTAGCTACAATAAACAAGAACAGTATTTTAGAGCTCTCATGATTACTCAATTAAACTCGATTATTAAAAAGCTTTGATTATAATTGTCCTTCCCATGGTAAGGAAACTCAGCAGTATGGCGGAAGAAAGACGATGCATAGTGAATGAGGGAACCATTTCACATTAAAAATGAATGAAAATGCAGTCATCTGTCAGCACTGTAAAGCAGAACTTTATCATAACAGCACAACGGCAATGTAAATACATCTTAAAAGAAGGCATTCAGATTTGACATACTCATCCCATAATGCGGGGTTAGCCATGTGCTATTAAGCCTCTCAGAGCAGCCTAGCCTGTTTTTGTCATCATTTTGACGTAAATCATTTTGCTTAATTTACTTTCTACAATTGCTGTATGTCAGAATAATCACTGCTAAAATGAAGGTTAGCCCCATCGCTTAGCCGCATGTCTGTATATAATGTGGTACATAAAAACCATATAATATTAACTATTTTTTTGTGAATGTAGCTTGCTGTATGTTTTAGGGCTGAACAATATTGGAAAAAGTTAACATTGCGAAGTTTGACACAAAGCGGTGACAACAAATCACTTGCTTTTGCTCAATATCATGTCTATGGAATACAAAACATTTCCATAAAGAGGATAAGAAACGTCTTTTCATGACCAGTCCTTGTTCGCTGTGAAGAAAATCGGCCAAATAATTTTTCAGTTATCATGCAGACAAAATCAAGTGTCTGAGCTGGTCTTCTCTATGCTCTCACTATGTGGCACTGCTTAATTTTGATGCGATTTATCTTGATTTGATCAAGTCCAGATCTTCATTCCTACAAGTTTAAAAAATATCTGTCATATATTATTTGAGTTAATGTCATAATGGGACCAAATATCTGAAACTACCCTTTTTTCCTATCTCAAAATGTGACTATTTGTTGTCCTACAATATGCCTGCAAAGTTTTAACAAGATCTTTTTGAGATACTGTGTTCATAAGACCAAGTTTCTTCTATTGCTGCCATTTCCTTTTTTTTGATACCACACAGCACTGCTGCTTCCTTTTTGGGGCAATATGTTTGAAAACAAAACCAAGTGCAGTTTTTCTTTTGAAGCAATAAAAAGATCAATCAAATACTTTTTTACTTATCACATTTACAAGATCTAATGCCATCTGCTTTCACCATCCCCTTTCCTGCCATTAAGTGGCATTGCTTCAGTTTTGGGGCAATCTGTCTTTAAACGGTTCCAGTTTGGCACCCATAAAATGCCTCTGCATATGTTGAAAAAGAGCTTTTTGAGTTATCGTCTTAACAGGAAATATCAAAACTGCCCTTTGTTTTGCTATTACTATGCGTTGCTGCTTCAGTTTTGGGGCGATCGATCTAAAAATTTAATCAGTTCTACTTCATCACTCATGCCTCTGCAAAGTCTGAAGAAGATCCATCAAACAGTTTTTGAGTTATCGTCTTAACGACTGAAGCATCTGCGGCAGTCACAAAACCATATGTAATCCCTAGAATCCAGGAAATAGAAATATGTTACAATATAGCAAATATACAGGTTAACTTGGCCAGTTAAGAGCATCAGCCATTCAGGCATTTTTCTTATGGTGTACTTACAGTCTGCTGCGGGTGACGTCTTGGCACCATGACATCCATTCTATCAAAAAAAAAAAGATTTTCCCCATTGCATACTATTTCCCTTGTGTCATTTGTACCTTTGAAAAGGCATTAGAGATGACAAAGCTCACCCCCTTATTTCAGTCATTCCACCCAGGACTCACCGAGACAACAGAGGGGTCCGTGTCCTGGCTGTGGGTGAAGGCCGGGCAGGAAACGGGGGGCAGGCTCCCCTCAAAACCAGGGGTGAAGGGGGGAGAGTACACGGGTCCAGAGCTTCCCAGGGCGAGAGAGGGAAGATCAGACAGAGACACAGGGGGCTGGTGATAACTGGAGTCAAAGATGGGGAGGGGGGAGCTCTAAGTCTCACTGGGAGCAAACAGACAGTACTACACACACAGCAAGAATCTGTATCTGCCTAATATTAACCTGCCTAATTATACTAACGATGATTATAATAACATTGACTGTCTTGTAAAATGGCGCTCAAGGTGTGGGATATGTTATACAATAAGTTAGCATTCAGTACTCATAGTCAACATGTTGAATGCAGGGGAAATGGGCAGGGGTAAAGATCAGATTAACTTTGACAAGAGCCAAATCATTACGGACAGATGACTGAGTGAGAGCATCTCCAACACAGCAAGGCTAGTGGGGTGCTCATGGGTAGCTGTGGTGAGTACCTTCTGAGAGTGGTCTGAGAAGGGAAAATCCAGGAACCGCTGATAGGGTGTTGGATCAACAAGACTTGTCAAAGCAATATATGAACGTACCCCTGCCGAGTATGAGTACTGAATGTTAAATTACCATCTAATACACTCCAGACCTTTACACACAGTTTAACGAGATAGTTAACATTATTTGCATCACATGATTTAGCTTATCGTTATATATTAAATGATTATTATCCCTTCCCCTTTCTCAAACTGAGTGCCTGGACAGATTCTTCAAGTATGAAGTACTTTGCATTGAAGACAATAAACTACACCGTGCCATCAGCCAAACCCCCAAATCACCAGCACACCTACCTGAGGGGGGGTCTCAGGTGCCGGTTCTGAGCATGTGCTGCTGGTGCCGCTTCTGGGACGCTGCTGTTGGGCCCATTTTCTGGTTGGATCCACTCCTGTAATGCTGGTTCTGAGGCAAAATCCAGAGCTCCGAACTGCACATTGAGCCCAGAGATATCAGCCAACCCGGGCATCTCAACTGCTGATACGGGAATCTGTTAGGGCGAGATAATCAGCTTTCAGCATCCCGAAGGTCCGACAGGCATCAAAACAATACACAGCTGCCTGTAAATGGCCTTCAGGCCTAATGAACACTGGAAAGGTGATATACTATATAAAGATTTAACAGCATATTGGCAGGTAGGCACATTAGATCATAAATACTAATAGTGACAGATGTTAGGTACCTTTGATGCTGGAGGTATCTTGCGTTTCTGTATCTTCGGCTGCCTCTGTTGTGTAGAGCAGACCTGGGACTCGAGCACAGAGGTGGTCAAGGGGTCAGACCTGCCACTCGGGGAGGATCCCTCTGAATCTCTGGGTTTGGAGGACTCCAGGGTGGAAGGGACAACGTGGATGGATGGACTAGCTAGCTGTGCCAAGGCACTGGGCTTCGTGCAAGAGCCGACGTCCTGCTGCCTGTGAGTCAGCTGACTCAAAACCAGGGAAGGTTCTGGCTGGGTCCCAAAGTTTCCTGAAACAAGGCAAAGCAAGGTTATCCATATAGCACCTTTTAAACATACAGGAAATTTTAAGTGTTTTAACTGTACATTTAAAGATACAATGTGCATTGCATAAAAGATAAACATACGACAATATATATATATATAAGGGAACATAACATTCTAATACGATAATAAAAATAAAAGCTTAGTAAGAAAAAACTCAAAAGGCCTGAGCTCAACCAGAAAACCAAAAAAGTGCAGGAAAACAGGAAAGTTGGCATTCTTGTATGGGGAGAACTCAACTAATAGCTCAGAGTTGTTAAAATCTTATCTAGCTCTGATTTAAAGGAACACAATGTTTTAGCTTGCACTACACTAACAGGAAGAGTATTCCATACTCTACACACTGTGTAAAGAAGTGCTTCATGATGTACTATTTGAAACAGCACATAAAATTCTCCAAAGCAAATATATAGTCTTTGGTTTACACGAATAAATGGAAAAATCCGTAAATCCCATTTCACATGTAAAATGTACAAAGTTGAGTGTGTACATAAATATATGAGTTTTGTTTGATAATTCCAGGATGTTGTGTAAAGAAATTGTGTATACATATTCTGGGTACCTTTTTGTGTGTAAATGAGGCCCCAGGTGAGGACTCCAACTCCGAGTCTTCCTTCTTTATTGCCAAATAATATGATCTAGTTTGTTTCTATTTACTTGAAGGAATTTTTTGCACACCCAGTTAATTGTTCTATGCACTGGCATAGTAAATCTATGGGTGTCATCTACAGTACATAGCTACAGTTATTTATTTACAGTGGAGATCAAATTTAGAGGACAACCTACAATTTCCTCATTTTTAAAATCACTACTTATGCCAATTTGAAGTCATCGTAACTGGAATGGAACGGCAGTTTTTTAAGCATATTTCATAATTTAAATATACTGTGATGGGGTTTAGATCCTAAATGAAATGCATCAAAACAGCCATGACTTCAAAGCTGCTAAGTTGATTATGAATAACTTATCCTATAATCCTGCTTACAAAAAGAAGATTAAATTGGAAACATGCTGTCAAAATGAAAATAACTTATTCCCTGAAAACCCTCCATCACACCATCTAATCCCCATATTAAAGAAAAAGCAAGTATTACATTTTGAACAAGGTCATGTCAGAGTAGGCAACCATTAAAATAAATGAATCTGCATATGTGTGCATATATAAAGAAAGGGAGTATTTATGTGAAGTCGACTTATGACAGGAAACATCATGTTCCTGCACTCACTGCTGAACTGGGCGGCCACAGATTGGAAGGAGGAGCTGGAACTTGAGGCCCCCTGCCCATGTGACGCTGCAGAGCCTATGGCAGAGCTGCTGGGGGGCTGGCTGGGACCTGGCCCCTCCTCCTTCATCTGCTCCAAAGTCTGCACTGCGGCCGAAGGGCTCAGCTTTGGCCCATCAGCATCCCTCAAGACAGAGGACTGAGAAGACATGGGAAGGTATGGAGGTTAGAGGAGATGCTAAACTGGCACCTCCTAGTCTTTTAGTTTAGCACTTCGGAGTCTTACTACAACACGTTATTGCCACTTTTTCTTTTGGCTTCTTCCTATTGACTAGGGGCTTAACAATTAATCTATTCTAATTGATATGTCGATTTTTAAGGCCACGATACAATAGAAACGACTCAATTAACAAATATCGATTCATATCATTAAACCATTTTAAACGCTGCCGAAAAAAATCTGTGAAAAATTTGTCACACAAAGCAATCTAGAAACTTACCTTAGTAGAGACCAATACATTACAGTAGATTTAATGTAGTTTACTGCATCTATTTTCCTATGCATATCCAGAGACAGTTTTTTGCTGTTAAAAGTACAAATATGTGCAGTTTTTGACATGTAATTTTGTCAGCGTATTAAACATTTATTGTTGTCTTTTTGAATTCAAATAAATTTGAATAAAATCAGCTTTAATTAAATTAAGTAAAATTTAATTAAGCCCCTGCTGTGTGTGTGGGTAATGACTATATTACATTGTGATAAAAACCTGTTATTTTGACATTGCTGTGATAATTTTTTCAGTTCTCACAAGAGGAAATTTTTATAAAAATCTGAGACTGCAATCAAAAAACTAAAAAAATTTGGTTACTTATGGTTTAGGGCTGGTTATTTGCATTTCCACTGAGCTACGCCTCTCACCAGGGCAGCATGTGCATAGCTAAGGGCAGGGCCTCCACTGGGGGGCTGATGGTGTGAGTTGGTAAACACCAGGCTATGGCCCAAGGCCTGGGGGGGGTGGGGCTCTGTGCTGTCCAGCTCCAGCTCTCCATTTGGTTTCTGAAGCAGAGAGGCCAGATCCAGACTAAAAGAGACACAGAGGTACAATGATGACCATCTTCAGGAGAAACATCAGGCCTACTTGTTAAAATACATATACAGCAATTATACTAGAAAACCATTATCCACAATCCAAGAATACAGACTGAACATAATGAAAGTGTACAAAGTTCACACAGCTGTAATCACCTCTGTACAGCAGTGGCGTAGTGCTCAGTCACAGGTGCAGAAGATGCAGTGAACACTTTGGTCTCAGACAGCTGACACAGGAGAAAGGAAGCCGCCTTACTGGATGCTGTGCTGCTGTGACACAGTGATCTACATGATGTGTATCATGACGGTAAGAAGATGCCAGCCTCTCACGGCAGGCTCACACACTCACATCTTCATTCCAGTCCTCCACAGCCCAGTCATCCAACGGGTTTTGCCAGGACCCTAAAAAGAGGCCAGAAGCCGACTCAGGAAGCAGATTCATACAGCCAGCCTCAGCTGCTCGAAGGCTGTTTGCAAAGGTGTTTCATATCAAAATTCACATGCTGTATAAAACTGGTGCAATTAAACTGGCTTGCCGATGCTTCCACTCTTGGCATCAGTACTTCAGCAGTGCCTTCACCTTCGGGATATACAGCAAGCACTCACCTGTGCCTCGAGTCTCCACCTGCCTTTTGGATGAGGCTGGGTTATAGTCGGCTGGGTTAAACGTCCTGTACAGATGCACGGGAACAGAAAGACTCATTATCTGCCGTGATTGAAAAACAGAAGCTACCATTTCACACACAGGCAGTCAGCTTATAACACCACATTTTCCCAGTCATGCACAAAAGAAAAAAAAACAGTTTGGCAGAGCTGAAGCAAACCAGCATTACAATGAAAGCATGACCTGAACCAACCCACCCCACCCCTGACACTCACCCCATTCCCTGTGCAGAAAAGCAGCTGCCCCCACGGGCTGAACCCCGTCCGCGACCTCCCCAAGACAGGGAGAGAGGGCAAGGGGGGGAAAGAGAGAGAGACACACAGACAGAGAGAGTTAGTTAATGTGTCAAAGTGTTGCAATATGAAACATTACGCACAAATCAAGCACAATATATACCAAACATAAAACAAAAAGATATTTAACGTTTCCTTTTCACCAAGCACCACATGTCAAGAGATCACAAGGGAGAACCACATGAAAGAATCATCTCACATTTAAATGACATTAAACAATATACACTGCTCAAAAAAATTAAAGGAACACTTTTTAATCAGAGTATAGCATCGAGTCAATTTAACTTCTGGGATATTGATCTAGTCCGTTAAGTAGCAATGGGGGTTGTTAATCGGGTTAACAACAGGTGCATTAGAGGGGCAACAATGAGATGACCCCCAAAACAGGAATGGTTTAACAGGTGGGGGCCACTGATATTTTTCCCTCCTCATCTTTTCTGACAGTTTTTTTCACTAATTTTGCATTTGTCTACAGTCAGTGTCACTACTGGTAGCATGAGGTGATACCTGGACCCTACAGAGGTTGCACAGGTAGTCCGACTCCTCCAGGATGGTGCATCAATTTGTGCCATTGCCAGAAGGTTTACTGTGTCTCCCAGCCCAGTCTCAAGGCCATGGAGGACATTCCAGGAGATAGGCAGTTAGTCTAGGAGAGGTGGAAGGTCCTTAACCCTTAAGTAGGACCAGTATCTGCTTCTTTGTGCAAGGAGGAACAGGAAGAGCACTGCCAGAGCCCTACAGAATGACCTCCAGCAGGTCACTGGTGTGCATGTCTCTGAGCAAACAATCAGAAACAGACTTCATGAGGGTGGCCTGAGGGCCCGACGTCCTCTAGTGGGCTCTGTGCTCACTGCAATCATAACATCTTTTAACAGAGGAGAAACTGTGGATAAACAAGGTACAAAGATGATGGTAGTGTGATGCTAATTTTCGCTGATTAAAGTCTGACTTTTTTTCGTAAATAGTTTTCATTTATATTTCAGTTCACGAATTAATTTCTTTTATTTGGTGTCCATTGTGGTTTCAGTTTTAGTTTATAATAACACTGGTCCCAACAAGCCCATTGAAACACGAACACACACTGGCACAGTCAATCCACATGGAATAACCCCAGAGCTTAGCCTAAACATTTTCTCAAACATTTATTCAATGGAAATTCTAAAGTAGCAGCTGGCAGACAACTTCATGCCTTTGATAATGAGTTAATTTAGCAACTACAAGGACAAAAGATATTAAAAAGCTCTCCGTACTAATAGTAATTTAATGAACATGAACAGACAACAGTTACGGTGGTTAATTAATCTGGAGATCCTGAATAGCACCTCTGTGCTTTCTCTTCAGGTGCTCTTGCATAGCAATAGTGCCCCTGCAGTATGCCTGCGGACTTTGCACGGTGAAAAAAAACACCTTTTTGTTTTATAATTTAACCTACTCCAATAATTACAACCATTTGTTATAATGAATTGAAGTGCTTTAGAAACCATAATGGTAATTTCATTAAAATATATTTTTTTTTAATTGCGTCAATTCAAAATATAGACGTCGACGTGTTTTCAGCATGAACGTCATCGACTAAACACGGTGCCTGCGATTATATGTAAATGTGGCATATGGCATTAATCAACAAGGTGTGTGAATTACACATTACTGCCAATATTCATGCATATATACAAAGAACAAATCATTTCTAGATCAAGCACCTGCTCTTGTCACTTTTCACATGCTTTCACTGCTTTAATTCCAACCATGTGCAGTGAGTGAGAGGGCTCCTTTACGAGTGCACCAGCGAGACTGACAGAGGATCCAGTGCTGGTGACGACATACTCTGTCCTGATGTGCCCTCAAGGGCTGAGGCCCCAGAGGGAGGAATAGGAAGGATAAACAACAGGTGGCGCTGTGCGTCACATGTCTGCCTAGTACTGAAATGTGCATGCAGAAAATTCCAGAAAAAAAGAGGCACATAGATGTGCACATACCTCTGCCTTTTCCCCAGCCACTGCGGTCCGAGTCCCTATCTCCAGGACCACTGTCAATCCCATTTTCTTCTGACTTCACTACACACAGTGACAGAAATCATACAGGACAGATACAATTAAGTCACAGTACATCCAAGTTCAATTTCCATTAGCACTAAAAAAATAAATAATAATTTTCTTGTTTTTTAACAAGAGAAATCCAGAGCCACAATGAGACATGAAGGTAAATGTAGAAAGGCTCACAGCATTATAGGAGGGCAAAACAAAATTTCCAGACAAAATTCCTCCATGTATATTATATAAGTATACTACATGTTCACTTTACAACAGGCTGTCGTGAACATGGATACACAAACACACCAATTCTCGCTCTCTCTGGGTATTTCACATGATATATGACGATGTGGTCAGCCGCTATATGGGGGGCATATTTGGGCTTAAATGAGGGGCATATTTTCAAGTCACTGGTGCACCTACTTGGCACTGTCTCCAAAAACGTTTGCAAAATGTGACTAAATGCCAGCCTGGAACCCTGTGGAGCCACAGTTTTGATTTCTTAGGCATTGTACCCTCAGCCTTACCCTCCCGGCTGTGGTTGGCCCCTCTGTCTCTCCTGTTTGCCTCCCCACGGCCCCGTGAGGCCTCCTTATCCATCCTCTTCTCCCGGTTCTCCTTGTTCTCTGTAGAGGAGCTTTCCTTCCCAGGGACACGCCTCCGTCCCACAGTCTCCCATGAAGTCTGAACAGGAGAAAAACAGGGGAAGAGGAGGAGGACAGAGCAGAGAAGCACAGCTTTTTCATTTGTAGTCTCCAAAATAAAAAATGACTCATGCATTATCTATCCAACAGCTTGGTCATGAATAGCACTCAAGGACGATGACCACACTGGTTATATAAAATGCATGTCGATTTGTCCCAGAAATCCCAGCTCATTTACTATCCTCTCAACGATTCTACATTAAACTAATAAAAGATGAACCGGAGAAATCATGCACAACACATCCTGAAGCATGAGAGTGAACTCTCGTACAGAACCTAAACCCACATCCTGGCAAATCCTATCAAAAACTCTTTATCTCATCCATTAAATTTCTCTCTCACTTGCTTACCACATCTGAGCTCCCTTCCAGAAGGAAGTTGATGGCTTTGATAATGTCTTCCTTGCAGTCATGTAGGGCCACCACACACTCGTCTTGGTTCTTTCCTGTGACCTCTATCACCTGTGCAACAACACCAGCTATGAGCACAAATCTTTTACAACCTGCTCAAACAGGGTCAAGCGGTCAAATGTACACTGAAACCATATAACATATATCACTAGGAAAAGAATTACAACAGGTTCACTATATAACGTTATCAGTTTCTCAAGAACTTCACACTAGAACCATAATTGCCTTATTAACCTGTTTGATTTTGTCCTCAAAATCTGCATCATTTGTGTCATAGATCATCTGGGCCAGCTGGATCTGTTCTGCTGTGGCCTGGAGGGACAGTGGGAGTGGGTGAGGTCACTGATACAGATCCTGTCTAACACTATTGGATGAACACTTAAACCAGAAAATGACAATCCACGGTATGTGCACATTCAACAGCTGTGAACCACTTACAACTGGCTAAACTAGAGTGATAACTGCTTACATGTTCAGATAGACCAGAAACCTATAAATCAAAGCACGTTTTAGCAGACAGACACTAAGATCTGCCAAGATCAAGGTAAAGAACTGCCAGCTGAAAAGAAACCCTTGTTGGGTGCCAGACGTCACGTGTAAATTACCTCACCACTTACCTGAATCTGTCTCTGAGTCTGTGAAGCTTGTGTCGTTGTGGGCAAAACTTTGTCCCGAGGGCCCCAAGATCGATCGCCTAATGAGGTCATCGCCGTACAGTATATACAAAATGGCGTATGTACAAAATAGAAAAATCTATAAGACAAGGGGAAAAGAATAAGGTCTGAAAGTCAGGGTGATTAATGTTACATCGAGGCATCATGATTAACCGATGATTAAGACAGTGATTCAATTGCATTGATCTGTAACATCAGAATAGGTGATAACTGATTACTGGGGGCAAAAATCCTCTTTAAAGATACTCCGACTTCTGAGTTGCACTCTCTTGCTATAACATGCTGCAGGTAGCAATGCTGGCATGTGAATTTCTGAAATGTAGGATGGCGGGGAAGGCTAATTAATATTCATGAAGGAAATGCTACTAAATTGTTGCCCTACAACCCCTTGCCGGGAAACTTGCCATATTTTGTAGCACAGAACACTCTCTGTAAAGCACAAGATACCCTTTACAGCACAATTTTTTTCATGAAATGTAACTATTTTTGAATGCAAAAATAGCTGTGGTAGCAATTAGAGATGCACCGACTGTATCAGCCAACCAGTTGTTAACAAATGCAGCAACAATTAGCCATCAACCGATGGTTAAAAATGAACTGATATTTACCGGTGATAATTCCCTTTATAATCGTGACCTATTTTGCTTTGCACACCCGCATACTGAACAGTTAGAAAAACATCTACTCTGTGGAACTATTTTAACATTGTTAGAAATGCATTTTACAACGATTGCTCTGCTAAAATTTCATGAGGAGGATCTACTAATAAATACCTCAACACAACAAATTTGATTGCATGCCTTAAGGAGAGACAGTGAAGAGTAGGAGGAGTTTCTGAAAAATAAATCCAATATATATGTACAATATATTGGTTAATTGGTCATTAAAAATCAAGATATTGGCATCAGTACTGATGTGCTAGTCTTGTCCATGCCGGCCCATATTTAAACTTTATCAATATTCAAGGACAAGGGATTTGGCTCATCTATTGTTTATAAGAAGTCTCAAAGTACTGGCCGGAGCCATGTTTGTAATTCATTATCATGTCTAGCCCGCAAACCGATCTCTCTTTTCCACAGAATAAAAAACTGATGTAAGGTCAATCTGCTAATTTGTGGTGGCATTCCCGGCAAATTTCCATATCAATGCACCACTAGTTAGCCTACATGAAAGTGGGAGTACTTCCTTTAAATGTTTGGTTTTTTCTGTACAGGTCAGATGCTGGCATTTTTGACAAATGGCACTGGCTTGTTCTCCCTGTTTAACAATAATAATAAAAATTAATGTTCTGAGATTCAGCTTTTTTTGTATTTCATTACTAATGTGTAATTAAGTTCCCATGGTTATATTTGTCAATTTATTTCAGTGAAGTTAAAAAGGTTTGAATTTAGGTTATCAAAATAATTGAATAACTGACTAATTAAATCATGGTAAAGATTTCCAGTGCATTGAATCATTCCCTAAATAATCGAATCTCCTTGGTTCCAATGATTTACAACCCTATCAAAAACAGATTAAGTATGTAGTCTGTAGGTCAAAGACAGTCAAAAATATATTTCTTTGCTAAGAAAATTATTATGCAACATTGAATGAACAGATTTTTACAAGCCTGCACAGTGCTTAGCTTCCATCAGTGAGAGAAAGAGCTTTGGGCAGAGAGAGAGCTTTGGCTTAAACTAGTATCAGAGTCAACAACATGCTCATTTGTAACACTATAACATTACTTGTTGCTCGCCGGACTTAAATTTAGGTCCTGCAGGGGACTTTACTGGTGTCTCCTTACATTTCAGCAACATTTCACGTCGCTCTCTAATGCACCGCAAATACAGTAGACAGGGACTGTGTACATAAACAGACAATAATGTGTAACCAGGACAACCAAGCAACTGCTCAAGCCCTTTCACCAAATCTCGTTTTTTCTATTTGATTTCAACTCTCCAGTTCTATGGGCAACATAACTAGGACCCAAATAACTTTCCAATATATGGAAATTATATTGTGTACTCGGACAAGTGACTCTGAGGTCAGAAGTACTGTAAATACTGTACATTTATTTCATTTACCAAGTAAATAGGCTGCTGACCTTTGTTGTTTGCAAGCCATTTTGGACAAAAGCACCAAGTATAAATGTAATACTTGTTATATGCTGGCTAATGACAAGACAAGCCACAAAATAGAAAACCTATATGTAAACACATATAAAAACATTCCTCAGTTCCTCAATGGTAGCTTCCCCCTTGGTGCTGATCAAAATCACACATGCAAGCCCCATTGTTCAGTAGAAAACTTTTTAAAGTTTACTATCATTATAATGACTCTGGAAACTTTAGGCAGCTGGTATTTTGCATAACTAGAGTTACTCAGGGTACTAGAATGGGATAAGGTAATGCACAGCACTACGGCTGGGGGACATGATGATATTATCAGTAATCGACAATTTCAGACAAGTAACTAATAAGAGAAGTAACTTTAGGTGAAGTATCCTACGCTATTAATGAGTTTTAATAGCTTGTCAGTTGTGGTGTGCAGACCCTCCCGGACTGTAAAATGAAATGTCCCGCATTGATCTATGATAATGCAAAATTAGTCCCATATTTTCATATATATTTCTACACAGTGGGAGGGGAACATGGGAGGAGAAAAAAATAAATGTAAGATCTCGCACAACTTTTGTTTTAAGCACTAGACTATGAAGTACAATGCATACCATTTAATCTTCATATTTTGCATTTTTTTATGTATTTATTAATAAGTGCTCTGTACCCATTAAAAGTACAAAGGGTTAAATAGTATAGCTGAGGGTAAGAATTTGTGCCAAGCCGCAGAGGGTGGGTGCGCCGGAGGATCCATCGTTTCATATCCTTAATGCCTGGCCCCCTTCCCCTATCTCCCTCTTTAAGGTGGCCGTATACTTCAAACAGCATCCAGACAAAATGAAATCGAACATGCTGGCGAGAACAATCTGTCACATACTTAAAATGATGCCACCACATTGTTCATTCTATGTCACACCACAACCCAAGAGGGAGCATGTTTTCGACACAACAGACCCACATACAAAGGGCAAATTTATGTATTGTGGCAAGTGCATGACTCATTTTAATAAAGGAGATGACACCTCTTTTAAAATGGAAGTTATGCTCTTTATTAACAGCCCATATTGGTGTAATACTAGCAGCACCACAGCCAACAACTTACACGACACTCGTGATTACACGCTTACAAAGCACGTGTACGCATTCCACAGGAAATATTACACGGCAAATCTTACAACATTTTTCTATTAGCATAAATACACAAATGTACATATTCATTTACATGATTTAAAGATATGCACAGTGCAGTGCAAAGCATACCAGTAATATTCGACAGTGAGCAGCTCACAACCATTTTACTTTCGCTGTGTATGGGCGCCATCCATTAATATCCGTTTTCTCTATATATTGTTTGCTTTTAAGTTTGCTCTTATGTAACATTTACATAATGTTATTTCACATCACCATATGCAGAGTAATGAATATGACTGGTGTGATAATAAAGCCATTCTTGACATATGTTTTAACATGACCAGAGTACTCTATTACCATGCCCAACAATGCACCAAGATGGCGGCACAAGGGGACTGCGCACTAAATTGCAACAATCCTATAAATCAGGCTTTAGGGGTACACTTCCTAATGGACAAACCACCCTCATGCGTTCGTTCAGTGGTTAAACTTTTTCCTTCAAATAGCAAGTTAAAAGAGAACAAAGGCAGGCAACACTTCATGGTTTTCCAGATTTCTTTTAGGACACATTTTAATTAACATGTGAATGTTCACATGTGCACTTCACCTTCAATAGCTGTCACTCGCTTACAGTCACTGTTGGTCAATGGACACAGGGCAATTATTACATATAAAATATATAATCTGAAAATTCTACGGTGTGCCTTGTCCCCCCGAATTCTAATGTCTAGCGCATACTTTACTATACATATCTATGTCATTTAGTTTTATTGTTATTAGACCACCTGCATAGGACAAGCAAGTACAGAAAATGGACGGATTGATAGTCCATTAATTCTGCCTTTCGTAGTTTGAACAGGCACTGCAGTTATTAAAAGTAATGCAAAAATCTTGCTAAATGACTCATTCCATTTTTTTTCATTCCATATTTCCTTGTGCTCGCATTGAAAAAAATACACACCTAGCTTGATGTAGAGCTGTGACTTAAATTTAAACCTTTTTTCTTCTGCATATCGCCCAGCCATACACAGCATCCGAAGTGGCATGCTAGTCAAAGGGAGGTGGTTCCTACATTCTCATTTAATTGTGTTGCATTAGCCATGAGTCACAAATAAGCTCAGAGGATGCTTAATTGACCAGTGCACTTTTAGGGTCAGTTTATGGTTGGAATCTTCTTCACCTCATTACTTTACAGAAATGTCTACTATCTAGTGGACGTTTAAGGAGCCGAGGGTGTACTTCAGGGTCCTGTAAGCCAACTACATAGCTCTATGAATTTTAAGTCTGCAAGTGGTAAGTTTGAGGTGTTATAGAGGACAAATTGGGCATTACAGGTCAGGAAAAAAATCTGTATACAAGAAGCCATCCATACAAAATTACTATACAATAAAGATTATTACAGTAAAGTCAGTAGCATACAAACTCCTGCTTTTACTCTTCCAAATTATTCTGCATAAATGTAAATGAAAACATACAAATCTGACAATAAATAAATGTTAAATAAGTATTTATCCAAAACTATGGGAAGATAGCTTATTTATTCAGATAATTAATTAAAATAATCAGTTATTGCAGGTACTCCTGTAGCCAGGACACAACTATAGCTTACATCTACAATTATTTATCCTGGGACCAAAAAATAAATATAAATCGATTATTATGACAAAAATAAAGTATATGAACAATAAATGAGAACTCGACGTTAACAGGTCCATCAAACGAACGTTTTGCATTACGATTAATCATTCGTAAGGATCTCAATAACAAAACTTAACTTGCCTGACATTGAAAGTCAAGTCATTCAAGACGATGTGAGGGCCCAATCAAACGGCTGCCACAACATAAGAAACCCACCTCTGTACTAAAGAACAGTAGGACTATATTTTAAAATGTTGATTAATTAAAGAAGGTCTGTAATTTAAAACATGAAAGCACTTGAACCTTTCCAATAAGCACACACTAAAATCTAATTTTATACACATCTTTATGGTCTGCATAACAGCATAATTAAACAACAGGCTTATCTGAAAATTATTACATTCAATTATCTTCATTTGAAGAACACAGACAAGCGTTTTCCCCCCGACTTTGCTGTCCTAACAGCATAAGTATATCTTATGCAGAGCAAAATAGCATGCTAATAAGACATTTTCGCGGTCCTCTTAAAACTCTTTCTCTAAACAAACATTGTGTTATGGATGTTACTGCAGACATACATGGAAGAAACAAAAAAAAAATGCCAAAAATCACTAGACCGGCTCTCCTGTATAAACGCCTCCTATATGCTGATTACGTGGTCATCTGCATAATAAGTCAGAAGACGGTACTTCACGGTAATATAATTTTTTGACCGAAACTGTCAAACAACGCTCAGTGTACAGTGCCAGGCAGCTATAGTTAGCAAAAACGAGAATAAACCCGCAACTGCAACTGACAACACAATAAGACGACAGCTCTTTATCAATACCATAAAAGTACTGGTCAGTACGTGACCACTTCACAGTTTTATATCTCCTATAACAACTACGACAACTGAAATTACAGGATATATGGTATTTATTTGTGTGTTTCACCAAGGTTCAGAATTTTGTTTTTTTCTTTTACCTGCTAACACGCTTCCCCCCAGCCAGCGGCACAGCGCGTCACGTGAGTGCCCGCGAGCTGTAGCCTCTCGCGGTCAAGCGCGCAGGACGGCGTTCAAGCCAGCGCTCCTCACGCGCGTATGGCGTGCTTGTCTTGCAGTTATTAAACTGACTTGTGCCCTGCGAAAGTCATTCCAGCTTTACTTGACTGATACATGCGAGAAGTATATAAATACATGATATGACGCGCATGCATTTAAATTTAGTCTGAACTCTGTTGCGAACAGCTTGATATTGTTCTGCCTAATTTCAGTAACACACGAGCATCAATAACCCACGTTTCGATGTTATCTTGTAAAATGGTAATATAGCGATAGATTCTGAAATAAATAAGACATTATTGTAACGCTGGGGGTACCCATCGGACAGTGCGGCAGTATGCTGTATTGGTGCTAATATATATAGCCTCCTGAGACCCCACCCATTCATTTATGTCCATTGTAGTGGACATTTTGTTTTTGTATCTATCTTTTCACTGATGTAAGGAAACATATTTATTCCTGTTGTACACTAAAGAGGACATGCTGTGAAAATAAAAAATAAATTTGAAAAAAATCTAAATTGTAAGATGTCATTTCCTCCAAAGACAAATAACCTAAAACTGAAGGACACTTTTTTCCTTGGGTCTCAGGAGGATAGTAAAAATAGCTCTGTGTATTTATCATGTGTTGTTATTGTGCCCTATGTAATCATGTGTAGTGTTATTAACTGTTGTAAATAGTGGTGTGTGTGTGTGTGTGTCCATCATGTGTAGTATGAGTAGTTGGGATGGTACACACGGTGGGCAGTGTGTGTGTTGTCAGGATGAAGGGCACCATTTTTGTGCTTTCTGGCACTTGAGTCTGGCTCAGTGATTAATCTGCACACCATGTCCAACATCCATGCCACACTGGTATCAGAGCTGGAGATGGAAATCGAGGAGCTCAGCATGAGGGTAGAAGAGTTCCTGGCGATCCGCCATTGAATGAGTGCAACGAGCCGAAGGATACTTCTGGGAACTGAGTGCTGCACCTTCCCAGAGTGATCTGACCGCACCCCCCACCTGCCCAGGTCGCTGCACCATAACTAGGAGCATTGCAACATGGGGACACAACTGATCTGGCGAGATCTCCCCTGAATCTGCCCTATTACAACAAAAGAGGCCCCTGCCACCCTCTTCCAGGTCTGGCTTGTGGCACGGCTCAGCAGCTGGTCCCACAAAGAAAAGGTAGGCCGCCCGGCAATGTTGGTAGGGGAGTCGCGGCAATGTAAATGTTGTAGAATACGGCAGTTTAAAGTGCTGCCATTCTTCAGCTAAGGAAATAATTAATTAAATGTTGTATTAGTCTTTCAGGAACAAGTAGATTAAAACGCTTATATATTTCTTCTCACATCAATTTTTATTCCAGTGCAAAGTAATCAAAAAAATTACTTAAAATACTATGAATAATGGTTTATTGATGTTAAATTGCACATAAGAATAAGTAAAAAGCTGATATGACATGAGAAACATTTTCTAACTGTAAGTTGCGTCAGACATCAAAGGTCAATTACACCTAAATTTTAAATTATTTTCTATCCACAATAATTTCAAACATATCCAAATGAAAGTTTACCACGTCAAATTAGCTTTTTTTCTGATCTCAGTATCATCACCTACTCAATGAATCAATGAATGACTTCAAAAATATTCCTAAATGATATTTACATAAGAAGCTAGGTCCCTCTATCTGTACTAGTGTATATTTGAATATTCCCTTAGGGATACATAAAAAGTATAGAGTAGTTTATATCCCTATACTATGAATCATATAAAACTGCCTACGACTGAACATGATCCAGATGCCAAACACAAACACAGAAGTGTTTTTAAAAATGATAAAAATGGCATAGATTCCTACCACGATTAACATTACGAGCAACATTATTCATGAAATTCCTTCCACATCTAGAAATTTATTTAACACTTCATTTTGACCCCCCACCCAGAGTCCTCCTCGCTGATAGGGCATGAGTTACATAGGTCTGCTTCTTATGGTACCTTAGTAAAGCTAATGAACTGCTGTTCATGGAAGATGAAGAAATTAAACGCGTATATATATTTCATCTATACAGGCAAACCAAGCAGGTTTACAGAGACATTACTACACAAAAGATGGCAGTGCCTGGCAATATAAATCTAGAAAACGTGTTGTTCTAGTATAAATCTGCCATCTGTCACTGTTCCTCCTTCATCACAGACCTCTTCCCAAAATAAAACACTCAAACACAGTATATGCTGTTTTTCTATTAAAAAATAAAATGTATGTATACCTATTTTGGTGACAGAGTAAGACACGAACCTTTGGCAGAGGACAAAGGGAAGGAAGAGGGTTTAAAATAAATAAGCAAACAAGGTGTGGAAGAGATCAGAGATCCCATAATCCAATCAGATGTGGTGATAGCTCCCTCCATTTTCCTTCAAGGTCAGGGAGGTCACTTGATGGATACTGGTGGATGCTCCACTTGCAGTCACTGCACTGGAAAAGTGCAGCTTTTGTTCTTTGTTTGGGCATTGGGGGGGGGAGGGGCGGCATCCCCCCGCCTTCTAGCTCCACAGTCCAGCATAGTTCCCATACAGGCCTGAGCACAGTGGCCCCCCTGCCACAAAGAGCTTGGTGCCCGACGAGTCGTAGCAATGTGTGTACACCGCGTTGGGGAAGGAGCTGATGTCAGAGAAGTAGCTCCTCCACGTCTCATCATGGTTCTGTGGATAAGAGACAGAAGACAAGTTTACTGAATGCAGGCCGGGGACTGGCACTTAGTAAATAGCGGATTCCTTATCACTGTTCTGAGTTCATTTCAACTAACAAGTCACTTTGTGAAGCACTAACCAGCCAGCCCTTGCCAGTAGTAAGCCTAAGAATGCCCTCCCCTGGACACTGTCGGTATCCACAGCCTGAGCTGGACGGGTCCTCCAGGAACCTCTGGGCCCGGATATCGAAGAACAACAGGAAGCCATGGCCGGTTCCCACAGTCACTATGTGTTCATAGAAGCTGACCGACCGGGTGCCTGCACAAAACGCAGCATGCGTTACAAATCTGCACACAGAATCATATGAGGAGGAGATGCTGTCTACGTCTTACTGTACTTGCCGCTGTCACGTTCCCGTGAGCTGACGGACTTCACATTGTGAGGCGGCTGCCGGGGATCGAGGAAGGACACGTGAGCTTGGGAGCCCACAGCGTAGAGCGACCATTCCTGCCCGTACGCTAGGCACACGTTCTCTTTGCACTGGGGCAGCTTAGTTGACAGCAGCTGGAAGAAAGCGGGTCAGCAGGTCATTAAGCAGCGGTCATGTCCTAGGGGCGGACACACCCTAGCTTAACAGCTTTTACTTAACCAGGAAAAAAAAGGACGAGCAGTGTTAATGTCATAAACGTTTTACTGATCTTTCTTTTTCTTATAAAAATGTTTGGTAACTTTACGTAAGGCCATACTTTTAGTAATTCATAAACACTTTCATAACAAGTAATAATGCATTAGTAAAGCATTACAAACATGGCTATAAATATTTATTAAAAGGCATAACACATTATAGGCATGTGTATGATGCATTATGAATGCTTTATGAAGCTCTCATCTATAATGCAATATAATGGTCTGTACAAGCAAATGTTGCTTTGTACTGCATTATTTAAGTATCTATAGTGCATTACAGATTAGAGCTTCAAAAGGCAGTCATAATGCATAATAAACATGGCTATAATGTCTTGTGCCTTTTCATTAATATTTATAGCCAGGTTAATAATGCTTTATGAACGCATTATAATGCATTATCAATGTGTTTATAAGTTACTAAAAACACGGCCTTAAGTGAACTGTTACCAAACTAAAATAAATTTTACCACAATTGATAAACTTTGATTTAAAGCAGCTTCAAAAGCACTCTAGAACACTCACCTTGTACAAACTGTGTTCTGCTTTCCACAAGTGGAAATATCCATCCAGGGATACAGCCCCCAGCTCCTGAAAGAGGAAAACCCTCAGGCAGTCAGCCAGGGCATATTCAGAGCAAAAACATGTCTACGCTGCCAAAATGGTGGCATGGTTCTGTTATCAATTACAGCTGTAGAATTAATGAAATCTCATTCTGTGTGCTCTGGAAATCCACTTTAGATACTATGCTTTTGGGGGGCAGACACAGACACCAAATAATTTTAGAAAGTATTCAAGAGATATTACTTGAAATAAACACCTCCATTCCATAGCTCTTCAGGAATAGTGAGAATTCTGGTTTACAAATACGCGAGTGCCAAAGTGGATGCTGACCTTGCGGTTGCTGTTGAAAGCCAGTGCTCTGACTTTGCAATTGTACGGGTTGGTGTACTCCTTGGGGATGTCCTCTAGGGCACGGTGGCAGATGTGCACATAACCTGGGATTCCTTCTGCTTCCTGTCTCCTCTCTGCCCGGCTGAGCACCTCCTCAGACACCTCCCACAGCCCCATGGAACCATCTCGGGAGCCTGAGAAAGACGATTATTTAAAAGATGCCAGAAACTGTTCCACTTAAAATTGCTACCCTTTAAAGTACATAGATAGTTACTTCGAGAATATGATTGAATTACTACATATCAAAAGAGAGTCAGGGTGGCCTGCGGTCCCAACAGAAGCTGAGTCACTGTAGCTCTGGTCAGTTTAGTACAAACTCACCTGAAACAGCTAACGTATCACTTATCCAAGCAATGGAGAAGATCCAGTCATTGTGTCCATCCTATGAAACCAAAAAATTAATAACTAACTAGCCACTGCTCTAGAGTGCCCCTCAACTATTGTAACTTTTAAGACATCAACAAGTTTCTACTATGTAACAGCAATGGTGTCACTTAAACACTTATGTTACAAACAAATGGCGCTTTTCCACTGCTACCAAGAACCGAGCCGTATCTGAGCCATACCTCACACTGACCATTTTCCCATTGTAAATTATGCCAGCCATACCCAAGTCACACCCCCACTGACATGGCCCTGGTAACTAGCAGACAAAGTGTGACTAAACCAAGCTAGTTTAGAAATCTCAGAACCCGGCAATGGAAAACCGAAGCGAACCGGAACTGCGCTGTATGGCTCGGTACTTGACAGCAGTGGAAAAGCACCGATGTTTATCCTCCCTTCTCATTTGTCCAATTTGTTTACAACTCATAGTAATAAAACTGCATCTCATTTTAATCAACAGTGCAAAGTTGACCACATAATGGCTTAAATATACAACGTTTAACATCTACATAAAAAGAATAGGAATAAAGAAAGACTGACATCTCCCACACAGACAGGGTCCAAGGTAGGCAAGCGGTACACAGCCAGGCTGTTGGGGTTGTCTCCACCTGTAGCCAGCAGGGTGCCTGAGGGATTTACTTCAATGGCATGAATGCCACAGCTCTGCTGATCTAGAGCCGGTGCAGAGCCCGACATGGGAGCTACATCATAAACAGCCAGGCCTGCTCCACCCCCGGCAGCGTGGGCCTGCCTGTCCTTCAGCATGGGGATCCGGGTGATCTGCCCCGTCTGAACATCCACAACGAAGAGCTTTGGGGGAGCAGAGGGAACGCCACTTAAACCACTGGCCAAAACACAGGCTAGCAATGGTCAGCGAAGCTGCTCTAGCATCAAAATACGGCAGTGCACCACGTATTCCTTTTACAAATTTTAACTAATTTTACTCAACTCTTCTGTGTATCTACTCAAGAATTACACACACACAAAAGTACACAAACCATACTCCAAAGCACAGAAAGCGAGGCCCTCTAAGTACCGACATTTGCACTACACTTACCGTGTTGCACTTGGTTCCACACACCACCTGCCTATGATTGAGCCACTGGGAGGCGAACACTTTGTTGAGGTGTCCGAGGGAAAACTCCTGCTCACGCAGGATCCCAGGCAGCCGGCCGGCGACGACGCCACGCAGGCTGCGCTCCAGGTGGCGCTCATGCTGTGGTCTGTGTGCACGCGTCCCGCGGCCCTGAAGCACGCGCACTACAGAGCCCCGCTCGCTCCAGGGGCGCCAGCTGAGCGTGGAGGATGACGAGGGTGATGAGGCAGATACACGGACCCGCTTGCTGGAAGAGGGGCAGCAGCCCGGCTGAGTAGAGGGGAGGAAAAAAACACAGAATCCCTTTATAAAAACATTGTTTATGTCACGATTTTTAATAGAGTAAGAGTTTTTCCCAGTGAGTGTCCATTCAAATACAGCATTTCAATTCTAAATAACTAGTACTTTCAGTTTCACATCAATGCACAATTCATCAGCACATTGATCATTACATAAAAATATATGATTATATAATAATGGCACTATATAATTTAAGGTGTATGATTTTGCAGTACACCCAAGACAAAAAGCATATGCTTGCCTCCATCATCCTAAACTCTAATAAGTAGTAAAATAACAGGTTTCCATTACGTGATTGAGACTCTTACACTCAGGCAACTTCTCTCTGTATATCTCCGACAATAAACAATTATTTTTCTTAAATTTCCTCCCAATATATGTGACATATACAAATGGAAACTAATATTTGGCTTAATTTTCATTAATAAATGATAACTCATTAGTTCAGTTTCGTGGTAAAAAGTAGGCCAACAATCTAAAGTTCGATACTATATTACAAAGGTTTCAAAAACAATTAAATAAGGTGGCCTACAGTATTAAGTAATAGTATCATGCTTGCATTTTGAACGTTAATTCACATACTGCTGTTTAATCAACAGCGCAAACAAAATCGACCAGAAGGGAAACCAGCTGTATGCCTCGCAAGAACCGTGTATGTCGCCTTGCTATTATTCAAAGGTACACAATGTAAAAAGCAGTGCTTAAATATAGCACATTTAGGCAGATGATGTCAATTACGTGACGTGTTACGAATACGTCTTGAATACAACTATTAAGCGCAACTAAAGATCCTAATTTGGTACTTTCATGTTTATGCCCAGCTAGCTGCTTACAACGTAACCAAAGAAAAGTTAGGTACAATTGACAAGCCATATAAAAACTATAGCCTACCTATATACCACAAACGCTGTCAATTTTCCAAATAAATCGTCCAGGACTACGGAGTTAATCACATTCCGGTCCACTACACCCATCTATGAGGATAAGAAAATATGTGGCAGTGGGCTGGAAAACTTACTATAATAATGGGACTGATTACCCCGTGCTGTGTAGTTTGGCACGTTGAGGCCTATATTTAAATAACGCAGGTTCCTGTACCGAGAAGTGTATTCTAAATAATAACAACAATGAACATCTCTCTGAAGCCTGTCTGGTTGGTTGACTGCTTTATCGTTTAGTCATAGAGATACAGCATTGAGGCTGTGGGGCTTTGGCCTACTTCTCATGCCTTTAGGATCGCTGCGATCACTCAGCCTGTGTGTGTTTGTGTGATAGAGACCCTCCGGAGGAGATACAAAAACACGCGGCGCAGCCCGAAGGACACCCGATCCCACGACACGGCCTGCGTGTCCGGACACTGATTCCTTTTCCCTACCTGTTGTTGTTCTTTGGGCTCCCCGGCTTTCCTCTTCCTGCTAACTGCTCTTCTTGCCATAGTCAGATACACAGATTTCCCGTACCCACATTGAGGGTAACAAAGACGCCTGGTACTGTGTCATATAACGGATATTTGTAATGTTTACTGCTTGGATTGCAAAACAGCGCGACGACCTGAAAAGGTTGGAAAGGCACAGTGCTGCCGGAAGTACAATCGTTCCCCTCCCATCGTCGTCACCCAAACAAGCCCCGGTAAACGCGCATATTCAGCCAAGCTAATGAGTGATATTAAGAGCAGCTCAGATTCGCCGCATTTTTGCCCAATTCAGCCGTAATCCAATAACTACGAGCCATGTGCAGGCGGGGAGATCAATTCAAGCATCAACAGAAATCGAGATCCAAATAACTGAAATCCTGATATCCGTTACAGAAATCACGTCGGAATTAAGCATCACGTGACTAAGACTAAAACAGGGTTAGCCTCTTAAAGAGATGTGATACGGTCTTCCGTATTTTAACGACAGAATGACTCACGTTCCAAAAAAATCAAGCATGTTAATTTAAAAGCAAAAATCATATATTCATATATGCCAAACCATTGTATGGTACAACGTACCCACATTATCAGTCTTAAATTTCTGCTAGTCAAACTAATAGAAATCCTCTAATGTCAGTTATACCGTTTTATTATTTGTATTGTTGTTTTTTAAAAAAAACCCTAACCCTACATTTAAGAAATGGTACCAAAAGGTGCTGTTCAGCTGCAGGAGATCACACTCATCAGTGCTATGGAGGAGACCTTGTCCGTTAGTCAGCACTAGAGCCGGGGACACAAAGCCAGATTTCTTGCTTAGTCAGATAACTTGTCGGATTTAAGGTACCCCAGTTTAAATTTGCTTTAACTTAGTTCACTTACATTTAGCTTGGGCTACCTTAAATCCAACAAGTTATCCGGCAATGCATGAAACCTGATCAGTGTTACAGGCCCCTGGAAGAACAATGTGGACTCTGACATAGAAGCAAAACAGTAAACAAGCTCTTTTCCCTTGTACACCTGTGAGAATGAAATAACACAGACTGCATGTCTTTCATGTACTCGGAAGAAACATATGATAGTTCTCATGACTATGTGTTATGAGAGGTACTGAAGGAACAGAGGTTTCAGGGTCATTGCAAATTGAAGTGGTGGGCGATATTTTATTGTAACAGGTTACAATCCACAATACACATTTCAGAGGTATCACAAGAATCATAATACAGCACTTTTTAATTTAATTTAGCACATGCTTTTGTTCAAAGTGACATACATGTAAGGTAAATTGCACATTACTAACATATGTGCTATGTTGACTAGATATGGAAGAGCATTAATGGCCACCTAAAAGTAAAATATATAAAGCATTTCCCTGACAGCACACATCTCACATAGTACACATACACCTGGCCAGTGTCTGCCTGACACGCTACATCTAAACAGCGTAATACTCAACTCGTCTGCTAATTGGCAAGACACCTGTGCAGATTTTGAACTGCATTCGATGATAATCTGAGTTAATCTGAGTCCAGTTCTCTATATTCCCCAGATTTATTTATGCTGCCTGTGCTGCTGTGCTAGGAGAAGCTATCCATAGATTTCAACTTCAATCTCAAAAGTTTGACTTCAATCTCGCATTGATTATACAGCTAGATGTTGACCTGCTATGGCATTACTGCCTGCAACCCTCCAGCACCTCAGCCGATCTGCTCAGGACATGGTCGTGTTGCCACCTGTATCGTTCTTGGGAGAGCATAACCTTGCAGCCTGACAAGATGTGCTAGAGGCTTGCATATGCCATATGGACTGCTGTAGAGAGAGCAGCATTCTTCCTGGCCAAACCACTGGTGCAGGTTCAGTGGGCAGGGTAGTGTGTTGTATGTCACCCTGATAAAGAAACTGAGCCTTGCCTGTGGGATCTTCTACAGGTCCACTAGGCTGCCGTCGATGCCTTCCCACGTTACATGTGCACAGATTTGTGTTGCAAAGTTTTGTTTTATTTTTTATTTCAACGTTGTGAAGACATGTTCACAACAACGTGTACTTATTCAAAATACAACGTTTATGCTCAGGTTCAATAATGAACACCAAGTCAAAAAACATACAATAAATTAAATAGTACATTTTTAACATTAGAGTTTATCACTTGGAGGGGATGTTCTGACGTTTGTTTATGCGACAGAGATAACAATGACGAATATCCGGCGCATAATTATGCAACAGCGGTACATCCGCCGAGCGGCTGTACTGTATCAACAGCTGTCTGCCCTTATCCCCACTGCAGTACGTGAACATTTCGAACACAGCCCAAGTTTATTCAGTGCATTATGTATGCTGTCTTTATAAGAAGTTTGAGTCACGGTCCAGTTAGCACATCTGACCAATACTTTACGTTACTGCCAAGCGGGTTCGTTTATAGGTTGCTGGTCTGTATGAAATTGCTGCCCAGTTTCCCTTTTTATTCTGACCTCATCCGTTCTTGACTTCCAGGGTTGACAAGAGTGAAGCTAAAACGTATACTTCAGTGTGTCCATTCTACTTGTAAAATAATATCTATGCTCTTTTTCGCGGTGCATCATGGGATTAAGGCTGATACTCCATAGTATTTATGGTCTTGCTCTTCGATGGTTGCACACGTTTGTCCTCTCTTAGCTTTGGAGTTCGTAAACAAATGACATCCTCAAACTATGTTGAAAAGCTGGTTAAATGTATTGCAAACCCGATGGAATTCGTACAAATATAGATTTGTTCCGTGGATAGCTGTAAACATCTGTAAAAACGAGAGGTAATTCCTTCATATTGAAGGTTTATTCTGGATACAGAGCTAGAGTAACCTTTTCACTGGAACAGGCAGAAGTTTGAAGATCTTATCTACTTGAATTGTGTTTATAATGTCAGACCCCAAAAAATTTATTTATCTTGAGCTGTAGTATGTATACACTGATCAGGCTTTGCAAGAAATTTAATCACGTACGTAGCACTAAAAATAAGTAGTTTTTAAAATCTGTTATTAAACAGTAGAAGTAAGAGTAATGATGTTTGATTGTTTTTGTCGAACTATTTAGTGATTTCAGAGTGCCGTACATTTGCGTTTAAGCAAGATTTTTTCTCTGAGTCTATAATATAGACCTACTATCAATCCGCAAAGGATTTCGCGGTCGCAGAAATTAACGCTAAATCAAGGAAACTACAATATCTGTAAGACCTTGAAGTTTTTCAAATTTACTGCGACTTTTCCGCATGAAATGGTCAAATCAACTGCCCGCTTGTAGTCCATGACACGTCCAGTGACTGCACTGCAGGCGCTGATTTGCTTCTAATGTTGAACTGCTTATTTTACCAAAACCATATATATATAAAATGACTTTGAAAAGAATCAATAATGAGCACTGTAATATGACATGAACTACACCAAGAAAGCACGTACATATGTCTCTTTCTTTACTATCAATATTTTAAATAAATTATTGAGATTTCAAGGTGGCAATTTATGCATTTTTCCCACAAAAATATACCGTGAGATGCATTGCAAATTTAGAGAAAAACAGCTACAATTTCAAGAATTTTAGGCTGCAACTACCACAAAATAACTAATTGAATAATATATGATAATATAATAATGATCATGTATGTTCAATATTTTTCAGTTTCTCACCTTTTAATACTGATTTAATTTTTTTTTATTATATATTTTTAAAAGAACTCTCCGGCAGGTTCCACTGTGCTCCCTGGATAAACTGGTTTCAGATGAGGAGGTTCTACTCAACATTACCAAGTTGTTCAGAGCCCTCTTCAGCAGTAACCTGGGTGACCAAAGGGACATCCTGCAGACCCTTTCCTCATCATCCCAGACTGACTATCAGGCTGCTGTTGGGGAAGAGGGTCCCTCAGACCCATGCAGAGTCATGTTTGACACGATGGGCTTCGCGATTGAACGGAGGCCCAGTTCTCTCCAGTCTGCAGGGACAGGTGTGTTCGTTGTCATGGGAACAGTGCCGAAAGGAGCCACAGTAGCCATGTACCCAGGTAGGTGTGACTTTCTCATGGTGGCTTCATAACATCTCTAGATGCATTCATGGCATCTTCTCAGATGTTCACAACCTCTTCTGTTGCCTTCACGGCAACATGATAAATTGTTTAACAAACAAACTGTCCGGCTTCACTAAAACAGTTGATCATTCCATCAGAACATGATTCTTCATTCTGTACACCTAAAGAAATCCTGGTCGTTTTCTGCATACACGTAGAGCAATTCTAAACATTCTTAACCATTCATATATCTAGTCTTCTGACCTTTCAAAAATACCCAAAATGCAAGGTATTGTGGGGTACGTGTTGCCAGAATGCAGTGATTAGTACCTACCAACAGTGGTCCAAGGAAGGCCAACTAGTGAATCTGTGACGGGGTCATGGGTGCCCAAGGCTCGCAGAACAAAGGTCTGATCCCACAGGAGAAGTACTATAGCACAAATTGCTGAAGAAGTTAATGATGGCTATGATGGAAAGGTGTCAGACCACACAGTGCATAGCTGCTTGCTCTGTATGGGGATGAGTGCCGCAGAATGATCAGAGAGGCCATGCCGATCCATGTCCAATGCTGAATGCACCTGCAATAGGCACGTGATCATCAGAACTGGACCATGGAGCAATGGAAGAAGGTGACCTAGTCTGATGAGTCAAATTTTTTATTACATCATGTGGACGGCCGTGGACGTCGTTTACGTGGGGAAGAGATGGTACCAGGGTGCATTGTGGGAAGAGGGCAAGCTTGCAGAGGCAGTGTGATGCTCTAGGCAATGTTATTGCAAAACCTTGAGTCCTGACATTTATGGGGACGTTGCTTTGACACTCACCACCTGCAGTCTGTCCTGCTAAAAGATGACTAATGCGCTTCTGAAAAACCTCATGTTCACTAAAGTCGCATGCTAAAATACACATATCCCAAAGGGATTATCTTACGTGGAAAGTGCAACACTGAACACTCCTATCTATGCACAATCACTCACCTCACCAAAGAAACTGGAAGTTATCATGGAAGTTAGCTTGAGTTTAATTTTGGGCCAAAGAAGGTCACAGCAGTGATTTCCCCAACTGAAATTATGTTTCGTAGACTATAACTAGATCCCAGAAAAGAAAGTTCTTGAACATTAACTGTAAATTAAAAGTCTGATAAGTAAGATGATCTATGGAAACTCCTTTTTCTGCCAAACAAAATTAATTTTATCATTTTACCATAAATATGAAATACAATTTACTTGGACCAATAAAAAGTTGTTTCGAACAAATCAAATGAAATGGTCGATATTTTTTTTATATATGTTTTTAATGTTTGGATAATTGAATTAAAACCACCTTAAAATTCCATTAATTCATGCTGATATTTAATTATTTTACACAGGCACTATTTATCAGAGATACGAGCCTATCTTCTTCCAGTCGGTCTGCAATCCATTTATATTTAGATGTATTGATGGTGTTTTAATTGATGGCAATGACAAAGGAATTTCTAAAGCTGTATACAGGTAAGAAATCCCATATCCCCCGTGTGCATAAATGAAATATCTTTCTTTATTGCAGTTTTGACCTTTTTAACCAATGAAAATCTTTTACAGGTCATGCAGTGGTAGGGACCGACTAGGGCCTATTAAGCTCAGTGACACCACGTGGCTGACTGCCAAACCTTACAACCCCCTGGCAGTGGGTCAATATGTGAATAATTGCTCAAATGGCAAGTAAGGTCTCCATCTTGCAAACATATGCATTTTACCATTTGTACCCTAACCCTAACCCTTGCATAGTTTCAAATCAAAGCTTTTCCTTTTTAAATTACAAAACTGACAAGCTTTTTCCAGCTGCAACTGCGCATGTTTTTATTTCAGACAAAGCTGCTAACGTGTGCTATCAGGAATTTGATGTATCTACGGGATTTCCCATAGAACTCTGCCAGTATCTTCCCAATGTAAATTATAGAATGGATATGCCAAGGTAAGCCTATTTTCAGTAAGAAAAATTGCTTTGAATTGCTGTGAATTAAGAAACTATTATTGAAACTAGATTTTGTCCTGTGGGAAATGCTTTAATGACAAAGATTAGCTGAACAGAGATCATTAATGCATGTCCCTTCTGAGCCAGTGATAATCATTTTTTGTCCTTATTGTCGGACTCATAATTTCACTGCACATTGTTCTGAGCGTATACTGTTAATTGCTTTAATGACAAATAAACTTTGATCTGTTCTGATTTCATTTGAACTACTATGTTCTTTTTTGTGTCCCTTCCAGGCCCTTAAGATGTGTTGTTCTCGTGGCACTGAGAGCCATTCACCCAGGAGAGGAACTTTTCTCTAACTATTATACAGTTGTACATTAGGCCATGCTTTACTGCTTTTGTAGTTAATAATAATACTATTGTAATATCATTATATATAATAACCATGGTTGTAGATTATATCAATTTTTCCAAAGCAATGACTTAATCATTTTTAACATATTAGCCTAGTACATTTCTTTATATTACAAAGAAAGTCATTTTGGCAGTGTTACTGTTCACTTTAAATGCAGAGTATAATCTCAGTATTAATATTTATTATGGATCTAAAATTCAGAGATGTACAGCATTAAACATAAATGTTTAATGGAAGATTAGAACTTTGGCTTATTTTCTGTTGTGTTGTCCAGTAAGAAACCCTATAATGCACATTTTTACTATTCAGTACATAGTACTTGTTACAGAAGTAAATATGAGTACCATGTAAAATGTTAAGGCTGGGTCATTGGGTAGTAATGTTGCCTCATACTTCCAGAGTCAAAATTTCTTGATTTTTCAGCAGCGTTTCTCAAAATGTGCAATGCAACTTGTGGAGTTCTGTGTGCATTTTTTTTGCACGTTCAGGAATTTGGTCAGGGAGTTGATTCCCCCCCCCCTTTGCAGATGTAACAGCTGCCACTCATGTGGGAAGACTTTCCACATTTTTTTTTTATGTTTCTGTGGGAATTTTTGCCCATTCCTCCAGAAGAGCATTTGTGAGGTCAGGTACTGATGTTGGATGTGAAGGCCTGGCTCACAATCTTCGTTCTAGTTCATTCCAAAGGCGTTTGCTGGGGTTGAGATCAGGGCTCTGTGGGGACCTGTCAAGTTCTTCCACACCAAACTCACACAAACATGTTTTTATGGACCTCGCTTTGTGCACTGGGGCACAATGATGTTGTAACCATCAACACTGTGCTGATAATCATAACAATCAAATCCAGTGAGCCAGTCAAAGATTTTAAGATGTTCCTTGTGGGGAAACTCCCATTTTGCTTATTGCATCTTGCTCTCCATGACACATGGACACATGCAGGTGAGAGCAAGCTTGGTGGTGAAGGGCAGCTACCTGCAGAGGGTTCCATGGAGCTGGGGATTAATGGCCTCGTTTAAGGGTCTGCAGACGTCACTATTCTGCCAAGGCTGGGCTCAAACCAGTGATCTTCCAATCGCAGGCTTAACCCGCTGCACCTCACACTGCCCCCAGAAAGCTTGTTGAAAAGATTACACTACCAATTATTAATGCATTGCTAAATGTGATCATCTCATCCCTAAGTATATGTCCCTTGTGCTGTTATCCACTCCCTCCATCTGAGCTGGATATAAGGGAACCCACCTACCCACCCACCTGTATATCTTAGCGTGTGGCTCAATGGGCTAAGCCTGTGTGCCTATAATCAGAAGATCGCCAGTTCAAAGACACCCTCAGCATGTCTGCTGCTCCTTGAGCAAGACCCTTAACCCCATGCTCCTTGGCTGCTGCTACGGGTGGCTGCCCTTCACAGACAACAAAAAAAGAGCAAGTTGAGGGAGGCGTAAAGACAATTTCCCCACGGGGATCAATAAAGTATCGATTATTATTATACCGGCCTGCCCACTCATTGGCTAGCCTGTATATCTACCCTCCTGCTTGGTATTTACCTTACACCAATTTCCATGAACTCATATTGCTCGGCTTCTCCAGTGAATCCGGCTTTCTCAGCCATGCTCTCTCTCAGGGAATATTACTCTCTGGGGACTTCAGGCCCAGAATTCCATACAGTTTTTAACAGGGAGCACTGTCACAAAGCACTGTACAAAGCTAAACCAGTAAAACTAAATCGAATGTCAATCTGTCCTACATGTGGGAACCATGATGGATAAAGATAATTGATTTCTTTGTGCCATCACTTTCCAGCCTTCCATTTCAGAAAATATGTATACATTTTTATTATGCTGTTTTTTAAGAACACTGCATAATTTTGGTGTGTTGGGCTTTTCCAGTGATACAATGGGCTCATTATACTTCTCATAATTGCTTCCAAAGCCCCATTCCATCCCCCACTGCACCGCCCGCAAAAATACTGCATGAGACATTGTAGAACAGTTTTATTGTATAAACACACCTTGATGGCAACACTGCTTTTAATTTCTTTCAGTAACAGCAATGACTGCTCAGTTTTTTTAAATGATTTTATGGCTGTAAGGCTGGTCTTGCTTGTACCTCTGGAAAGTTCAATGAGCCAAACTATAAGGGCCTCAACAGTTTAGTGTGCAGAGGGACAAATCATACCTAAAAGAATTCAAAGGATGGTCCTCAGTTGGACACAATTTCAATGCTGCACCTTTTGGCCAAATTGCAATCAAATACAATACAAGAAAATGCCTTTTCTCTAAATTTACAGCATTTTTGAGAATCAGGGCTCTAGAATGAACCAGAGCGTAGGCCCTACGTATATTATGTGAAACGCATGCTGCATTGGTAAATCTTTAGTTCAGATTCTTGTGCTGTTTGTTCCCACTTCCAATTTCTAGAGTAAGCAAGCAGAAACTATGAACATGTAAGCCCTTTCAGTATTTAATATTGTGACTGAGGTCATATTTGCTAATTATGAGTCACTTGCTATATCCAATTTTTGGAAACCATAAAAAAAGTTACTAAACTTTTAAATAAAGGTATTGACAGAACAGTGTCAAATTTTTGTGGAACATCATTTCACAGTTCAAGAAACAGCTCCATTGTAGGAAATCTGCATGAAATAAACCATAAAAGATCCTTAGAAAGCAAACTGTAGATGACAAGAAAATAGTAAATATATTAACTTTTCATATTCAGTGGTTTTACTGATTAAAAATTCCAAATGTGAATGAAATTCACACATTGTTTACCATCAGAACAAACCAGAGGATCAAGATGTCCTTCAATGAGATCATTTTAAAACTAAGGTATTTAGGAGGGAAAGAAATGTTAATGTTGCTATAATTGGCCAATGAAAGAGGCAGACTTCCACACTTCCATCACAGGGAAACAGAAAGTAAAGGTAAATCCACAGAAATATTTAGCTCCAGTTTCTTTTCTTTTATGCCCTGGTGGGCATATTCGACAGCAGTCTATCCGCACACCAGTAGGGGGCATTATACACCCACCATTGTCATTTCTCAGAAAGCCCTCTACCACAGGTTAAGCTATTGAAACAGATTAGTAGAGAGCAGCAGATGATGAATTTACCAAAGGCACCACCCCATCAACATCATAAAGCCTCTTCACTCAGTCATACTCTCTATTGCACCTTAGGCTGGTTGCATAACAGAATCGTAATAAATGGTTCACTTTTCTCCAAATCTCACACTAACATTTTAAAGACGCCACTTGAATATTTTACCAATGAGCATTTCTGAGCATTAATATTTATTGAAACTGTCTGAAAGTATGCATTATCATACTTAAATAAATCAAGCTATATATATTTATAAATATTTGCGCGTTTTGTGTCCTTAGCAAATGTTTGAACCATCCTGATCGTGCAACTATTTGATGTACCACGTGTAGTTCTGCATTTCCTGTCACATGGTCTTTCTGTGCTGTCTGCAGTCCCTTCCAGAGCAAAAGCCAGGTGCGCAGTAGTTTTTTTTATTTTTATTAATTGTTAATAAAGTTCCTAAAATATAAACAAAAGGGAATCGAAAAGAAAATAGTGTTTGCCCTCTCTGACAAACAGACGAGTATTTAAGCAGACAGTGAAACACCAGAGGAAGAAAGGGCACTTTGAGCTCTGTGTTCCACACTCTCATTCACTCGGGTGTTTGGTTTTCTGGCAGCCAGAGGAACCCGGCCTGGGCCTGCGGCGGGAGGCAGTGGCAGCTTCGCAGCCGGGAGTCTCGCTTACCCTCGTAGCGCTACGTCGTTATGGGGCTTCCTCTCTGGATTTACACCCAGCGCTGTTGCGTAGCCTCACCATAACACTACAAAATGGGGTGGGGGGAGGAGGGTTAGGCAAATAGTCTTCTGTTCTAGGTTCAGCCCCAAATGAGCACCAACTCTGGAATAGAGGAGGAGACGGGGGGGCTGGCCAAGAGAGAGATGGTGCCATGAAACCTCAGCTGGCGGCTGCCCGAGCCATGAGGTCCTCCAGCGCCTTGTCCTGGTCGTTGTTATGAACCAGCAGCACCTCCTTAATGGTGTCCCTTTCAAAGCCCATTTCCCCAAAGCGAGTCATCAGCTGCAGGAACTCTAAAGCCTACAGGCACGGAGAGTGAGAGAAAAGAGAACCTGGGATTAGCCCTAAACCGATACCTCACCTTTAAGACGAAATAGGGACGACCCTGTATCAACTATCCCGATTTCTATTCATCCAGCATTTTCTTTTCAACTCATCCAATTGAAATTCATAGCCCTAGCCAAACCTACCAGTTAAATCAATTATCCCTTTAAAGCTAGTGGAAGACTGGCTACTCATACTAATACATACAAAGAATAGGTGCTTATAATTAATACCTGAATTTTCACCCAATATAGCATGAAACAAGTTAATCAAAATCTGAAATCTGCAGCTGCTCAGTGCAGTAACAAGCGCACACTGACCTTCTCCTCCGAACACTGGTACATCTCCAGGCATTCCTCCACCGTGCTGGAGTCAAAGCCCCGCTCACATAGACGCCCATGGATGAACAGGTAGTCCAGGACCTGGGGCAAGCAGAACAAACACTAAGCAAATGGGGCAGAGAGAAGCAGAGCTTCAGGGGCCCAGGAGTGAGCCTACCTGCTCCACATTCTGACCCTGCCTCTGCATGGCCTTCAGCACACCCTCGTAGGAATAGCCCATGCCCACCAAGGTCTCCACACAGGCACGCTCGCTGGGAGACAGGCTGAGCAGCAAGCCACACGGGGTCACTTTGCCACTGGGTGGCTCGGTGACACATGGGAGGGCTGGGGGGGTGGGGGCCGGTGCTGGGGCTGTCTGGGGTTCAACCTAGAAGGGAGAAACGTAGGGGCTGTTACAGGGTCCAGCAGACGAAGGTGCCAGCGTGGGTGATGCTGTAGGCTGACCTGACGGAATATGTGACCGTACCAGATAGTTGTCGGGGATAAAGAAAACTACAAATTTAGGCTACAAAAGTGGCTACTGAAAGTTTCAATGCATAGCATAATTAGAACAATTAATAAAAAAACAGCATACATGAAAAACAGAGAATAATACCCTAATAGAAGAATTAAAAAATGCTCTCCAGAATAATGATGCTGGTTAGAACATTTTATGAAGTCTGCTCTAAGACTTAAGTGAATATTTATATTCTATTTATTTCTCACTTGCACAATGACTAACATTTTCCATCACAGCAGTAAGAACTGTAACAGATACACTAAAGTTATATAAGGAGGCCTGTATGAGCCATGGACAGGTTTTTAATTCTTGGCCACGATACACTAAATCACACGCACAAATTAGTTTAACGTTCCCATGAAATACTAAACTGTTCACAAAATCCCTACAATAGGCACATGATTTCATTTTTTCTAGCCCCCAAATTCACTTTTAACTAAATTTAATGTTTTGCTTATTTGTGTTCTTGCATAAAGAAAAGACCACAAAGCCAGATGAGAGTAAATTTATTTGTTCAAATATTTATTTTAATGTGTCCTGTTTATTATGCGTCTTACAATCTCACTTGTTCTAATTCTGCTATACCTGGCATTTGTCCAAACAACCTGGCACTATGGTAATCTAATACTAAACATGGTAATAACCAGGATATGCATACATCTCGAGCCCATTTCTTTATAACTAGATTTGGTGCAGTAGGAAACAACAGCATTGTATTGCCCGTATAGCCCTGTCATTTGGTCCAGCTAGCTAGGCAGTACTCATCCTATACTCAGCAACTTGTACTATTTTTTTTTTTAGAAGATAATAGATTGTTTTTACCTTTTTGTAATATGTGGGCCTGAAAGTATAATAATAATAATAATAATAATAATAAATAATAATAATAATTAATAATAATAATAATAAATACTTTATTGATCCCTGTTGGGAAACTGTCTTTACGCTTGTATTTCTGTCTGTATGTTTTAATGCCTGTATTTGAAAATATATTATTTTATATGTTTAAATATTTATATTCTATTTAACTTTTGCACTACGACCCAAATTATATGGTAGCTGTATACCACAGGCATTCAAACTGCATGCCCCCGCAGGGCGTGAAGGAATGGCAGGAGGGAGTAGGTAAGAGAAAAAGAGAAATGTGTAGCTGTGGGGGGGGGGGAGGTATTTAAAATGTGTCATCCAGGTACCACAAACTGACAACATCGCACTGTAATGTAATAAAAGTTCATGGTGGGAAAGTTGATCAGCTAATGCTTACATATTTGGAGGGAACCATGGAGAAATGTGTAGCTGCTAGGAGTGTTAAAAGAAAATATGATGGCAAAGGAACACCAAAAATGAGTAGAGACATAAAATATGAAGATGCATGTCTGAAGTATTGGTTTGCCTGTGTGTGTGTGTGGGGGGGGGGGGGCGGCGGCAATATGAACTCCCAAGTTCTTGGTTGTTAGCATAATACTTTGTGGTTATTTAGTTACCATTTACATTTGTATCAGGGAGTTGCATTCCCTCGCTTTCGGGGAATACATTTTGTTTGAGCACCAGTCTGCCATTGCTGCAGTACAAGTTGTACAAATTAGAGTTGCCATAATGTTTTTTCTGGCCCAATGCCAATATTAAAAAGTTGAGTATCTGCTGATATCAATACCAATTCAATATTTTTCCCCTTTATCAAATACAAAGCATTATATGAGGTATTTGTATAAATACATTTCAGTTAATATGGTAAACCATCTACATTTAGTACTTTAGTAGCATTGTTTAAGGATGCCTAGAATAGGGAAATATAACGGTCATGTTGCTCAAACAAAGGCTACGTCACTGCGCTACAGGAAGAAATCGATGGCCAACATGACTTACACACGTCTGCTTCCTTGTTTTATTCAGTAACAACTAAAATAAAAATGAACAGAAATAATCTGCTACCAAATTAAATATAATAAATAAATCAATCATACAAATATCACTGTATACCCAAACTAACTATTTGTAGTGAAAACGTATGCTATACATTCACTATGTTGACAAGCATTGGGACACATCTCTTAACCAAGGAATTGAGGTGATTCATTCAGACCCATTGCCACAGTCTTATGAAATCAAGCCCCTAGCCATGCAGTCAGGTTTACAAACATTTGTGGAAAAAGTGGGTCATTCTGAAGAGCTCGGTGAATTCAAGCACCTTTGCAATAAGGTCATCTTGTCATCTAAGGTAGGATGCCGCCTTTGCAATAAGGTTGTGAAATTTGTTCTCTGCTAGATATTCCACAGTCAATTGAAAATGGTATTACAAAGTGGAAGCATTTAGGAACAACAGAAACTCAGCCAGGAAGTGTACGAGAATAACAGAGCGGGGTCGTCAAGCGCAGAGGTGCATAGTGCAAAAAAAGTCGCCAATGCTCTGATGACTCATTAACTGCAGTGTTTTAAACTTTTTCTGGCATTAACTCAAAGACAAAAACTGTGCGCTAGGACCTTCATGGAACGGGCTTCCATGGCCAAATAGCTGCATGTAAGCCTCACATCATGAAGAACAACACGATCCGTCAGATGGAATGATGTAAAGCACTCCACCACTGGACTCTGGAGCAGTGGAAACGTGTTCTGTGGAGTGACGAATCACACTTCTATGTCTGGCAGTCTGATGAACAAGTCTGGGTTTGGTGGATACCAGGAGAACGTTACCTGCCTGACTGCACTGTGCCAACTGTAAAGTTTGGTAGAGGAGGCATAATGGTATGGGGTTGTTTTTCAGGGGTTGGGCTAGGCCCCTTAGTTCCAGTGAAGGGAACTCTTAATGCTTCAGCATACAAAGACATTTTGGACAATTCTATACTTCCAACATTCTGGGAACAGTTTGGGGAAGGCCCTTTTTTGTTCCAGCATGACTGTGCCCCAGTGCAGAAAGCAAGCTCCATAAAGACATGGTTGGGTGAGTTTGGTGTGAATGAACTTGACTGACCCACACAGAGCCCTAACCTCAACCCCACTAAAGACCTTTGAGATGAACTAGAATGGAGACTGCAAGCCAGGCCTTCACGTCCAACATGATTTTCTGGATGAATGGGCAATAATTCTCACAGACACACTCCAAAACCATGTGGACAGCCTTCCTAGAAGACTGGCAGCTATTACAGTTGCAAAGGGGGGACCAACTACATATTGGTTACTTTCACAATGCCGGAACTTTTTTCTGTAACCAGAACCAGGGACTTTTTTTTGTTTTCACACTGCATGAATTTGGACCGACTATAGTTCCTGGGAGGCAGTTCCAGAACACTTTTTGGTACCTACTCCAGGGTAAATACATTTAGTTAGAACACAAACAACTGGGGAGGCGCTTACAGCGATAGCTTACAGACTGGTTGACCCACAAGTACCCACACTAACTTGGAAGTTACATGGAAGTACAGGAAAAGAGATGCAGTGGAACAAAAATTAAGCAGACGGATTTTTTTTTGTTCACTCCAATTACATTTAATGCTTCAAATAATACATTTTTTGCATGCATCTCCATATGTCTGATTTGGAATAGTTTATCGCTACCAATACACTCCATGTCTAATATTGCTGGTGCCGACAGTGAAACTTGCCAGCGCTTATTTGTGGGATAACGTTACATCGTTTTTTATTCTGTGGAAAAAAACACACTGATCTGCTGGTCAGATTTAATAATAATCAGAAACATGTCGTGGGACATAAGTAAATTATAAGTAAAAGGCTGGGTCCTGTTTTGACCATGATTGATCCCCCCAATAACTAATAAATAACTAACAAAATGACTTATTTATCCTCCATTATTTTGACGTGGATGTGTAGTTTCGTTTGAAACGTGTGAAGTTTAACCTACAAACTTTTTGCATCTCCCATGCTTACTGAGCATAAACGTCCCAGTTCCTGTTGTGTGGTATGAAAGCAACACACAAAAGTGGCCAGGAGCTACAAAAGTTCCAGGTCGAGAACCCTGTGAACCGGGACCAGGTTCCAGAACTTCAGTGTGAAAGTGCCTATTGATGCCTATGGATTTAGAATAGGATATCATAAAAGTTCCTGAAGGTGTAATGGCCAGGTGTCCCAATACTTTTGTCCATATAGTACATGTATAAATGTATGAGTGAGTGTGTGTGTGTGTGTGTGTGTGTGTGTGTGTGTGTGTGTATTATACACCAAGCAGTATATACACAGTACATACAGAGTGAAACTCGGGGTCAGAGTGCAGGGTGATACCATTCATCCAGTACCCCTGGAGCACTTTTTGTGATTTGTCGTAATGTAATTAGGTTCACCAGAGCTGTGCCTGTTCTTTCATGTGCCCCCCTGACTAGACATGATTGGACTTGACAAGGGCTAAGTGACACAATTAAATATTCCCACAATAATTTCCCCAAGCTCCCGATGGTACATTTCACTGACTAGCTACAGGACTGCTATGGTTAAAATTTTCCAAACGGGGAGGCTAGTGTTGAAAAATCAATATAAACTTAATTATAGGATATTCAGAAAATCATCTCACGCCCTGCAATCTGAGAACCAATTACCTGTACAATGTTCCTGGGAAGTTTGCAAAAAAGATCCACAGAATATGTTCAGATGGCAGACGGCTGCATCACAAGATGGTGCCTGCTGCCTGTTTCACCCTTGGCTGCCCCCCTTAGCACAGCACCAATTTTGGGTTGATTTGGGGTCAATCGTGGGGAAGATTTTCAGGTCTTTCAGTTTCATCCATATAATGTTTTTATGAAATGGTAATAAGATCCATCAAAGATCAAATAAAGTAAATAACAACAAATAGTGATCCTGTTCGCAACGGAAAGCCTTTAATCATGTCATTCTCTTTGCTGTCGCAAAGCGCTGTTGCTTAAATTTTTATGTGAATTGTCTCAAAATTTGAACTAGTTCTGAACTTCACACGTAGAATGTGCCTGTGATGTTTGGAAAAGATTGGCTAAAATTGGCTAAACCATTTTTCAGTTATTTCAGCTGGTCAGCTCTTTGCCATCACTAGGTGGTGCTGTTTCAATTTTGGTGCGATTTGTCTCAAAGTTTGATCAGGTCCAGATCTTCAACCTTACAACATGTCCGCAAAGGTTGAAAAAGATCTGTCAAATACTATTTTAGTTGTGTTAATGGGATGAAATGTCTGAAACTACACTTTTTTTTTTTGCTCTCACTGTGTAGCACTGCTTCGGTTTTGGAGTAACCGGTTTCAAAATTTGATTGCTTCCAGTGTGTAACCCCTGCAATATTCCTGTAAAGGTTGAGAAAAATCCATAAAATACTTTAAGAGTTACTGTGTTCACAAGACCAAGTGTCTTCTATAGCTGCTCTTTCCTTTCTTTGCTGTCACACAGCGCTACTGCTTCATTTTTGAGGCAATTTGTCTGAAAATAAAACTAGGTATAGATCTTCACCCACATAATGTTCAGTTAAACAGTAATCCATCAAATACCTTTTGACCTATGCTGGCTTTTGGCTACCCCCCACCCCCATTAACACTAAATTAACCAACATTTTTTGGTTACCATGATACCATTAGGGTCACACTCACCTGTTTGGTTGCACCATTGTGCATGTGACTGGGGGGCATGTCTTTCTGTGGACCCCTGTGCAGCAGGGTCAGCGGGGTGCCATTAGGGAGCCCCTTGCGCGTACTGGCTGTGTTCTCGGGATCGCTCAGCTTAGGGAAAGTGAGGGAGCGGATGTTACAGGGCCGCTCTGTGTCCCGATCCAGCTCCAGGAGGCCAACCAGCCCATCAGGCTTGTGCACGAGGTGGGACTTAGCCTGGGGTGGTTCAGGGGGATCCGGGGGGGACGCCGACTGTTGCTGCAAGATGCTGCGTAGCTCCTCCTTGTCGTCCAGAGTCTTGAGCTCTAGCTTGTCGAAGGGGTCTTCCTCGCGCTCAAAGTCGGCCAGATTGAGGCTGTGGGGAGGTGGGGGCGTGGGGCTGGGGGGCCGGGCAGGGTTCCGGCTGGGAGCAGGCAGTGGAGTCAGGATGGCATTGTGGCTCAGACCGGCCAGCACCGGGTTCAGCGCAGGTGGTGGTGGTGGGCGTGGCTCCAGCCCTTCTGGAGGGCCGGGCCGATTCCTGTCCCCGGGGCCCCCGCTCTCCACGTCCTGAGCCTCTTCTCCCGCCTTGCCGTCGTCGGCCTCAGCGCACTGCTGTGCTTTGTGCTGGGCGCTCCTCGCCAGGGCCAGGTCCGCGCCCCACTGCACGCTTCGCCGCTCCAGTGAGAAGTCGTACTGCAGGAGACGGGGCCAGCAGCAGCAGGGAGAGACAACAGGACACTGGTTAGTTATCATGACTAATAATCCCTAAGAAAGAATGGCTGTTAACTTTAACTAGTTGAACAACAATGAACTTCCTCAGATTCAAGTCTGGTTGGTATACGTTTAGGCTGTGAAGTCTGTTATGGAACCTGCGTTTACGACAATTGAATGAAGTGAATGGTGCCACAGAAGCAGCAGCAATCCTGCCCATGGGTTCTGTCGAGGTTTAACTGCCTTGCACCTACAAATTCACCTGCATATGTTTATGTGTCAAAATATTGCAGCATAAACAGAGACTACACTAACTTGTATATCCGAGAGCAGTGGGGTCCAGTCTGGAAGACAAAATCCAATAGGAAACCCAACTTTGGCAGGACACTTGAACTTGTCATTAATCTTAAAAGGAACATCTTCCAGGTAACTGATGGGCCCTGCAAGTAAAAGGGGACAGAAGTAAGCAATGAACACACTTTTCTTAACTAAGATAATAGTGCTATTCCACAGAAACCATTCAGAATTGCTGAGTAAACATTAACAAAAGTGAAATTTCAGCCTCTCTCGTGTTCTTTGGTCTCTAGCCAGATATATTACAGGTGCTTAATTTGAGTGTAACTTCATTATTCCTATATCAGAGTGTATGAATACGTTTAATCATTTGCTAATGAGAAAAACTGGCAGAGGTGGCACAATAATGGTAACATAAAATTTACATATGCGATCCAAGCAAATATTTTTAACTTGGCAAACGACACACTATCAATATCAATATCAATGTTATCAATATAACATAATGGTCAAGTGAAAAATACCAAAAACTACTCACCATTATTGTGAATGTCTGATGCAGACTTCTTTGCAGCCATTTAGAGTCTAAACCAAAATTATTTGGGAATAAAGATTCTCAGTTAGGAAGACTTTGGACCAGGGAAATAATGAGAAAGATGTAGTATAGTAATAGTATGGTATAATATTAGTGTTGAGATTTCAGTGTCAATAAGACCAAATAAACACTCAAGTTTAATAATACAGACAGTAAAAAGGACTTGACAGTGACAGTGTAATCTACACCTGACATAGCAAAAAAGCAAAAGTATTAGGGCTGTCCCTAACTATTATATAAATAATAATCTACTGATTAATCTGATGATTCATCGGGTAATCATTTATAATATATATAAGATAACACATAACATACACTGCAATTTGTGCAACTCAGTCACATATACGGTTCACTCTAGTTCACTTAAGTCGCATGTTTTTGGATAGTGGAAGGAAAGCAGAGGACCCGCCGAAAGAGCACGTGCATACAGGGTGAACATGGAAACACCACAAACACAAGGCGGGAGTGTGCAGCCACATCACCCTGCACTGCACCACTGCGCTGCCCTGACAGGCCTGCGAGATGTGTAATGTTATACATGGCAAATACAGGCAGTTGTCACAACTCAAGGATCACAATAGTCTGACAGGTTCAAACCATCAATAAATTGTGATAAAACATTTTTACTCAGTCATAGGTAGGGTTGGGTACCGAAAACCGTTGCCAATACGGCACCAGTACCTATATAACCGGTATGTACCGGACCGAAACAGAACGCGAATTTCGGTGCCACTTAGATGCCTGAACTGTCGATTGAAATATTTGTTCTCTGGGGCTTTGATGAGACAGTTGTAATAAGCATAAGATTCATCAACACACACGTGACATCATCAGGAAATGAGACCATCCAAGATGCGCGTGAATGCAGCAACTAACGTTACACTTGCTCTGAAGGCAGCAGGTGGTCTACCGTTATCTTAGCTTGCTAAATTAAACAACTTTTGTTAAAATGCCTAAAACTAAACGGTCGAAAGTGTGGCTATATTTCACAAGAAAGGATTCCGACACCGCGGCGTGCAGCAAATGTTTTACAGCAGTTGCGTGTAAAGGGGGAAACACGTCAAATCTAATGAAACATTTGAGGGTACATGGAATAAACTTAAAAGCAGAGGGATGCACCGTGCTTGACAGCTTGCGGACAACAGCTGGCACGATCGGTGTGGATAACCCCAGACCCAGTCATACCAACCGTAGCAAAAAGGAGTCCACCGATTATGATGAGGACAGCAACCTTTCCGCAGGTTAGTAGTAGGCTTATGTTTTGTTGTTGTTTTTTGTATTTACATATATATTCATATATACTTTAAACTTTTAATATATTGTTCAATTTTAAGCATTCAATTTTTTGTTCAATAAAAATGTATTCTTGAGTCATCCACCATCATTTTGTGGCTTTTGTAAAGTATCGGTTCAGGCACCGGTACCGTTTTAAAAGTATCGATTTGGCACCGGTATCGAAAAAAACCCCAAACGATACCCAACCCTAGTCATAGGAAGCCACACATAGCAACCATTGCAGTAGTATTTTTATAATACATTTGTGTATAATATTATTAGAAGAAATCTGAATATTATGCAGTTACACTACAGGCCTGCGTATAGGCCCAATTGTTTGTGAAATTAAACTATCGAACAAATGACATTAGACACCTAACAGGCTTATGTGCATAATAGCTTAAAGCTTACATGACATCATACAATCAAATGGTGCCTTCAGTTTATGCTATGTCTAGTTAGGTGAGGGGGGCACCTTATTTTTTCATACTGTCCATACATTATTTAGAAAAATCAACGATATTCTGGTATTCTAAAATCTTGCCAATAAAATTCACTGAGTGAGGGAGCATCCCGCACAACAAAAATTATTCTGACCAATAATTGAAATCTACTCCTAATGGTGGATCCCTTATTCTACGTTAAGTGACAAGGGCCATTAGGCAAAATAAAAATGAGGAAACGTGTTGAATGGCAAATAGCAGTCGAATATATATATTCGACAGCAACGTTCAAATTTTTGCAGATTGTGTAGGCTGCGCATTAAATATATATGACATCCGATTTTTATTTGAATAAGTTCAATCTCTCAGGCATAATGCACAAAAATACTCCTTGCAATTCAAGTGACAAGGATCTGTTTAGACCAGGGGTGTCAGACTTCAGTCCTGGGGGGCCGGAGCCCTGCACATATTTGGGTTTTCCCTCGTTTAACACACCTGATTCAACTCCTTGTGCTAATTATCGCAGCTGGTGGAAGAGGGAAAGCTAAGCTACACAGGGCTCCGGCCCTCCAGGACTGCAGTTTGACACCCCTGGTTTTGACTGAAAAATGTACAGCTAGACATAAGCTTTATTGGTTTAAAATATTATTAGACCCTGTTGTAAAAATGAATGATGCAACATCCTGTAACTAGTTTTGAGAGGAATTTTTAAGATTTTAGGAGCTAGCCTATCACTATCTCAGTTTGGTTTACCAGCTATTTTAACTGACTCAAACATTTTGCATTCTCAGTGCGATCACCAAGTAAGCAGTTGAGATAGGGGTAAAGTAAGTGGAATTTGTGAGTGAAAGTTCACTCACATGCTTATATCTCAGGATCAAACAAATAAACAATACTCAGGGAATGAACAAAAAGGTAAATATATGCATGTGTACAAACACACAGAAACACAAACACACACAGTGTGTCTATACACAAACACTCTCCCCCCAGAAATATAAATATTCCTGAAGAACATTCAACATTCCATGTTCACAGTGGGTACTGCTATGGCGTAGTATAGCTGTTAGGACACTATATATAGAAACAAAACTACTACACTTAACTAAACTACACTTACTAAATGTTTCATGTCTATGAAACTGCATTAAGTCAAAAGCAGCTAAAGTTATGTGTTTAATTGGTTACAATTTACATAAGTAGGTGAGACTGACTCAACAAAACATTTGCTACTGCTCTTGCATTTAGAGAAGACATTCTGCACATCTACAAATTACTCTATGAGCATATTAATTTGCTTTTCTATAACTTTGTTTCTCTACAAACAAACAAACAAAAAACACACACACACACACCTTACTGCTACTTCATATAGAATAATTAACTAACGAATAAATCCATCATTTATGCCAGAACAACGAGCTGGAATTGAGCCAGCAAACATATAGCCCAATCTCGTAACATCTGAAATGGTTTACACTCCCATTGATTTCAATGTGCAACTGACCATTTATTTACCAAGGCGGCACCGTAAGGTCTGCCTACTTTTTGGATGATTCTTTCAGTTTAGAAAATTAATTCCTGATGTTGTGCAAAACAAAGAATGACTGGTAATGATATTTTAATATCATTTTGTAATAATTCAAACTATAATTGTGTTTCATCTTGCAATAACAGAATGAACTATGAATGTCTGACACTTCTTTCCATACACAGTTGGCAAAAATATACATATATATATTTATCCTGTATTCATATACGAGTCGACTGTTGTGTGTCATGATAATTCTTTGAATTAAAATATTTTGCGGAGAAACAACAATGTGCTCAAATTACAGGTAGGTCTAAATTTAACATGATATTTAAATTAATATCTTGAACATGAACAACATAAAATGTAGTAAACCGTGGTTTGGGAAATCGCTTTAAAGCATGCTGGGGAAACATTACTTTAAAACTAAGCCAATTAAGCAATAAAAACACTTTTATCCCTGCACAAGAATGAATATTAATAAATTTTACTACACCAACTCGAGTGACGCTTGACACAAGGTTTAGCCGCCATTTTGAAATATTTTGCAGCCCAAAGTTCATACATTCTAAAACCTTTCACTACACAAACAGATATGAAGGTTAATTTACAAATTTATCAGTGTCTCCAACTATACTATCGATTTGAATAAGGAAATGCCACTGTAGCTGTACCCAACCTGCCCACTCCGTTCTTGTTTGAAGCCATTTGTTTTCGCAGGAACTGTCAACAAAGTTATAACAACTCACCGTGTTGCTGAGCACAGAAACAAAAGTACATTTGTTAACAGTCAAATGTAAGTAAGCAGACGCTGTTATCCAGCATTCCGGCAACATCAACTCATTTATCAATATCAACCCCGCTATCAACACCAACAATCGAGACAGGCAGCTTTCAAAGAGTGAAACGCGAAAAAATACATATTTAGTGGTTTACTAACACATATTTTATGCACCGAGCCAAACTATTAGCTTATCAAGCAGGATGGCTTACATGACAGCGATAGAAACGACCAGACTCTTCTACGCGGCCTTACTGCGAGGTAACTCACAAAAAAAATGGCCGGGTTTCAAGGCTATCCATATATATTTAATCGCACTTACGTCCTTACACAATATCAGTGCTCGCAGGGTTTAATGACATCATTTTAATGTAGTAGTAATTATATTCAACATAAATATCTAAGAGCTGTCTATAGTTGGGGGCCGTGGCCTGTGGTAATCACCGTGAGTGACTAGCTAAACCATTACATTTCCCTGACAGCTTTCGCCTATATAGTTGGGACTTTTTTACCTGTATCCCCACCGTCTTGCGTCTTTGAGAAGTCAATAAAGCACACGTTTATTAAGACGTTGTCAAAACGTGTTCTAATAAACCCGAAAACTATTTCCTGCTTCATAGCGGGACGCCATCTTGGTTAGTCTACTTCCCCACTCTCGTCCCTGTTTGACGCCTATACTTTTGATGAATGACGACAACGTTAGCCAGTGGCGAATCACGTAGCTGTCGCTATGCTTCAGAGCCAATCACTTGACCCTAAAGAACAGCCCACGACCCAGACGTCATCAAAACACAGTTTCCCATTGGCTTAAGGCGACTAGAAGTTGTCGCACGCATTTCACTGCGTGAAGTTGTATTTTTTGCCTCTTTGGGTACTACGGATGTGTGTTGTTACTACTACTTCTGTGTTTTTATATTTAAGCGCTAATGTTTGTCTGTCTTTAGAATAAAGGGTTCATTTTAAGCAAATGACTGCCCTGTTGACTGTGGTCGCTATTTTATACAATGCAATTATGTATTTCGTATTATATTAAGTTCAAGTTGTACTGTCATATCATATGCATGTAATACAATGAGATTCTTACTGTCCCCAGCAGACTCGGGTAACAATAGATGGCAAATGTTTAATTAATGTTGAAATAGTTAGCTTGTAGCCTACCATTATTCTAAGGCAACCTTTCAAACCATTATTCAGTACAATTAATAAACATTGTTAAACTGTACTCTTGAAAATTCGTATCTTATGCGGACTTCATAGCGGACTTAAAAGTATATATTCAATTAACCTTTTCATCTATCTACATTTATGGAGAATTAAAACATTTTATTTCTATTGCTTTAATAGGCTGTACGTTGCATTCTTAAATATACTATTGTGCTAGGAAATCATAATTTGCAGTAGATTTACAGTTGTTTGCCTCCCTCTGGCCATCAACGACAATCATCATTTATCCATCCTTCTTCCAGCTGCTTATCAAATACACATCCCTGGCAAATAATAATAATTTGGAGGAATTAAATATAGTATTGTGCTTTGAAGACAGGCAACAGCTCTATTTGAAGGTGCATCCCTGCTTAAGTACCAATATTCTTAATAGTTGAACTCAATTATACAGTGGTGATTATACCTTTCAAGTTTTACAAATATTCAATTTTTTATTTTCCCATATTAAACATCCTATTATAAAAACACTGGCTTGACTAATATGAGGTACACCTCAGACACAGAAATGGAAGGCAATTATAACAACTAGCACTATTAGTGAATCATGTAATGAAACATGGTTAGTTGAATAGTCCATATGTATATTGAAACATCAATCCAGCAGCTTACTCGATCAGTACAAGGTCATGGGGAGTCTATACTCGGCAAGGTAGGGGTGCACTGTAGATGGGGCTTCCAGTCGTTTGCGGGGCAAACAGTCACACATACATACCCTCTTATTTACGCACACATTAAGGGTAATTTAGATATGCCAGTTCACCTAACTGTATGTCCGTGGACTGTCGGAGGTAACTGGAGTACCTGGAGGAAATTGCTGCAACCTAAAGAGGACAAAGTCCTCACACAGAATGATGGCGGAATGACAGCCAGTTGTGAAAATCTGAGTGTGAAGTTCGGGTTTTCTTTGGCTAGTTTCTGGATTAATTTCTGTACCTTCCAACTATGATCATGTGAAAATGACAAAGATCGGACATTACTGAATACAACATTATATGTGATGCAGAATCCAGTTCCAGACTTACTGAATCCAGGGGTAACAGTCACGATACGGTTCTGCTGAGAAACCCAAGCCACTAACTTATTCTACCGAACTACATTTTTATATATCCGAAATAAAATATGTCAGAGTAGTTATCAACTGAGAATAAACATGCAAAAAAAGTAACTGGCACATCAGACAGTAGAGAGCAAGTAAAGCGGGCGGGGTAAATAAGGCCGCTGGACATGACCCTGCGACGCGGCGAGGAGCGGCTACGCAGCGGCGTGTAGGCGAGAGGCGGGCGGACAAGCGCAGTGTCAGCAGGAAGCGGTAATAAAGACACTAAACGGCCGAGAGAGACATTCGCGTTGAATTTTCACCGTTTGGATGAAAGTACTTAGCTGTCCGCTGGAAGAGGGTGTGGAGAGCGGATAAGAGAAGCGCACGGAGCTGATAAACACATATAAACAAGTGGCGGATTAGCCAAAACGGGGGCGAGGGGATATCAAGAAGAGGACGGATACAATGTATCCCCAACACGGGGGCCGCTGCTAGTAGACGGACAGGGACAACGTCAGAAAATATAAAATCCAACAAATAGAAGTAGAAACAATTGTGGCCACAGTAAGAGGGCTGAACGAGGGGACAATTTTCTGGAAGGACTGAAAGACAACACCCGCTACCCCCCTCCCTGACTACACCTCCCTCCTCGGGTATTACGGCGACACCGAGGCGGCAAGCAGGCAGAGCCGATAGCCGGGACACGGTGTCCGCGATTGTCAGCTCATTTGCTTTAAAATAGACGTGCAGGTAGCCGAGGGTAAAGCGGGGAGAGTAACGCCGACGCCGCTTGTTTATCGCGTCCCGATAGCTTGACTTGTCTGAACTAAGTTTGGCTTCGCTGCCAGCGCCGGACTTCACCTCCAGCGTTTTGTTAGCCTGTCGATGCTATTAGCTAGCGAACTCGTCGAGCCACGGCCACTGCCTAATTCAGCAATTAATAATTGTTAATTCAATAATTTATACATCTCGGGTGCAAAGAAAAGGAAATTGCAGTTCAGTTTACAGTTAAACGCCGCTTTTCTCTGCCTTTGTTTGGATAATGTCAATGTAAACGTAGTGTATCATGAATCGGCAGTGATTATTAGTGAGATTTTAATTGAAAATATTTAGTTGTTAATTGAAATATCTTCAAATATTGTATTTTTTTCTTTTTTTAAAGACTTTGGATTATTTGATCTTTGGTGGTTTCAGTACCACCTTTAACGCCGTGACAGACGATCCTTTCCCCTATCGAAAGTACTTTAAATTAAGGTTCTACTCCAGATAAGTATGTAATACAGCCTTTAAAATTCAAACGAGGCAATATACATATTGTACCGACCAGTCGTGCTGTTTATCTGTTGTACTGTAGCAATGTGCGAGCTATAAAGCCGCCAGCTGTCATTTGGACCTTGCTGAGTCAAGGACTTGTCTCTGATTTATTTTTTGTGTATCGAGGAGAGTTTTGTAAGCGTGTAGAAGGGATGAGTTACTTAACTAGTCCTTTCAGTGACTAGTGGACATTTCTTTAAAATACCTTATATTAATATTTAACTAGTAAATCAAATAGGTTAGCAGTCACAGTTGACTACGTGGATCCAACATAGATCTCTCTAAAGTGGCCCCCAGGTTTTTGGAGATTACAAGTCAGTTAAGATAATCCCTTGAAAAGGCCGGCACCTCTTCAGCCTCCCTGTCCTTGCGTCGCTCCTACCCAACATCGTCAACATGGCACAGCAGCAGATGCCCAGCTCCCAGAAGGCCCTCATGTTGGAGCTGAAATCCCTCCAAGAGGAGCCAGTGGAAGGCTTTCGCATCACATTGGTGGAGGAGTCTGACTTGTATAACTGGGAAGTGGCCATCTTTGGACCTCCTAACACACTTTACGAAGGTGGCTACTTCAAGGTGAGTTGGTACTGAGGTGGCAAACAGGTACATGACTCACATGACCTTACTCAATGGGCAGGAAAATTAACTTGCCATGTGGACCCACTGATTGTGACAAACTAATATTGAATGGGCTGGCATGAGAATATAGAAGGAAATGGGGTTATGATGGGAAGGTGTAGACATGCTTATGGAAAAAAAATCAAGTGAGGTGGCTGAGAATATTGGTGAAAGGTGAAATGATCTGGAAATGTTGCTTTAAATTGCCCCCAAAAGTAATGTTTTGGCAATACTGTAGAAGAATATCTCATATTGTGGGGGATGGGGCTGAATTTAATAATTTAAATGAAAAGGTCTTTTTTTTAAGCCTAATTAAATATTGGGGGGTACATGCCTCCCCACCTCCATCCACCTGCTTCCTATACCCCTGTGTATTTGGTCAGATTATACAACTTATCAGCTGGAATCATTCACTTTATATGGCTGTTAATTATTGATTTCTTCCACATCACTGGCAAAACAGAATGATTAAAAAAACAAAACAAACTGAACTTCCCGTCTTTCAAAATGAACCAGAGTAGAGGTTACAGGCACACTTGAGCCTTTGTCTTATGCTCTAGCACAAGAGTAGGCAGCCCTGATCCTGGAGTGCCAGTAACCAGCAGGTTTTCTGACCTACCGGATGAGTTACTATCTGCCTGAGATCAGCTGTGGTTCATAAGAGTCCAGGTAGGATAGAAAACCTGCTGGGTACCGTCACTTCAGGATCAGGGTTCCCTACCCCTGCTCTAGCACCTGGGAATAACAAGAGCTGATATCCTATGTATTTATTTTTGTTGTTAGACTCAACCATTGATGACTCAGCCTTATTAAAACTCTGTTGATCAGCTCTGTCAAGACTGAAGTGGAATCGATAGCCCCTTGCTCCTTGAGGAAATAATGCTAAGGAGAACTAAAAGGTCTCATCTCTGCATTTTTCTGAATGTCATGTTTTTTTATAATGTGGACAGGCATATTACAATAAATTACAGATGTTGGTGAGTCTGAGCATATGGGGCTCTTATGCTAATGTCCATGCTGCTTTCAGGCTTTTCCTCTGTGGGACTCTTGTCTTTCATCACATACAGCTTGATTGTATTGGTGATGAGAATGAATTCTTTGGAAGTGCAGGTTGAACTAGTGATACTTGGTTACTTTTAGAGCTGTCATGGTTACGTGATTTAAACTTTAGATTAAAAAAAAAAACCATTCAATTAAAATTTGCCGCCTTGATTACTCTGCAACATGGTGGAAGGGTGACGGGGAGTAATGGATGAAGTTCCAAATAAAGAGCAAAGAGAAAATGCAGACATTGAAGACTTTCAGGTTTGAGGGACTGGCCCAGTAATGTGGGGGTAGCTACAGCTAACAGTAAGTTATGTGCCCTTCAGCCTCTTGGAGTAGCCTAGCCTGTCTTTCATTACCTTGCTTTAAGTCAGCGGTGGCCAATCTTATCCGCAAAGGGCCGGTGTGTATGCAGGTTTCTGGGGTAACCTTTAGGTCAGCTGTTCAAACTCAGGTGTGAGAACTCCTCAGCCAATCAGTCCTCTAATTAGTAATATAATTAGGGAGCTGCAGCGAAAACCCGCATACGGATAAGATTTGCGGATAAGATTGGCCACCCCTGAATTAAGTCATTTTGCTTAATTTGCTTTGTATGATTCCTGTATCTCAAGATAACTGTAGCTAAAACGAATGTTAGCCCATCACTTAGCCGCATCATCTTCCATATTGTGGTGCATCATCCCCACATGTATATTTATTTGTGAACATATTGAGTAGGGTTGAACGATACTACAAATTTCACATTGAGATACTTGAATTTTTTTGTAATAAATATTGGAACAAGAAAAGGAGCTGAAAATGTACCAAAAACAAACTAAAGCCAAATAGAACTTATCTATGAATAAAGTCTGCCAGATAAGTTGGTGATGTTGCCATGAGTTGACAAATCATTTACTTTTGCTCAATATTGTCTCTGTGGAATCCAAAATATTTCCATTCAGCAGAAAACAAATGTCTTTTAATGGCCAGTTATTGTTTGCTTTTCCCCTGCTCCATCAGTTTTGTTACATTTCTCACAAATGTGCCACACTGATGATGAGGGTGATTATGATTGGCTTGGAGAGTGCATGCAAATACAGCAGCGGTAAATTTTAGACTGATTTTTAAAAAAAAAACATATATTAGATCATTTTGAAAATGAATCGTCTGTGAAATTGCAAAGCTTGTTTTGTTTCCTATGGCAGCGTAAACATGTTTTAGCATATCACTGATATTCTCAAGTTAGATGAATAACACACTTTTAACAATGTAAGTCGCAGCCGCGTAATGCGCAGTGTCCATATTATCATTGCGCAGTGTCTATATTATCAATGCGCAGTGTCCATATTATCATTGCGCAGTGTCTATATTATCAATGCGCAGTGTCCATATTATCATTGCGCAGTGTCCATATTATCATTGCGCAGTGTCTATATTGTCATTGCGCAGTGTCCATATTGTCATTGCGCAGTGTCCATATTGTCATTGCACATTGTGGGGCAGCATGATGGAGCAGTGGGTAGCACTGTTGCCTCACACCCCTGGAACCAGGGTTAGATTCTCCGTCATGGTTCCCTGTGTGTGGAGTTTGCCTGTTCTCCCTAAGTCATCGTGGGGTGTTCTCCAAGTCCCCCCCCCCCAGTCCAAAAACATACTGAGGTTAATTAGAATTACCTAATTGTCTGTGAGTGAATGATGTGTGAGTGAATGATGTGTGAGTGAATGATGTGTGAGTGAATGATGTGTGAGTGTGCGCCCCATTCTGGGTTGTCCTCTGTCTTGTTCCCGTGGCCACCGAGATTGGCGGAGGGTCCGGAGTCTCTATGAATAGGACACGCAGTTACAGAAAATGGATGGATCTTGCAGACCTAGTTGATGGCGTACAGTAGTACAGTGGATAGCGCCTTACACTTTGTGTGTGTGTGGAGTTTGTATGGTCTCCCCGTGTGTTTACACCGGATCCTCCAGATTTCCTCTCACAGACACAAAACATGCAGCTTAAGTGAACTGGCGTTTCTAAATTGACCGTATATATGTGTGTGCGTATGTGTGCATGCATCTTGCATTGTCCTGGCTTGATTCCTTCTTTGTGCTTATTGCGATATAGTATAATGTATCTAATCAATGCAGAGCCTCTGCTATAATGTATTTATATATATATATATATATATATATATATATATATATATATATATATATATATATATATATATATATATTTATTTATATTATATATATAAAATACATTATAGCAGAGGCTCTGCATTGATTTAACTAATTTTGCATTTTTGTATGGAGTTATAATCATTAGAATGCAAAGTTGAGCACTTATGGCCTCTAAAAACCCACAAAGCATATGATAAATTGTTTACTGCAAAATATTGCATTGGTTTGATTTCTTCATGCCCGTTGCTTCAGTGGGCCTAGTAAGGGCCTTTGCCAATGAATGATTACGAGAAAGGGCAACCTGCTGATGACAAAGGGAAGGGAAACCAAGCCAGAACCCAAAACATTCAGTGGGGGCAACACTCCTGTGATTTAGACTTGTAGTTATCCAGTCAGGCATTACAGGTCTCATGTATATTCATATTTGATATTCCTTTTGCGGTTTTTCACTTTTAAATTGTGCTTTTTAAATTTACATTAGTGCTGTTTTTTTATTTGTCTTATGGCTGTGTCTTGAATAAGCAAAGGGATCAGATGTTATATTTGGTTCAAGTAGTGTTTGTGAAGTGTGTTTAAAAGGTATCTCACACTGGGGCACAGGGACCAACCTCAGTCCGGTGCCTGGTTCCGAAGCCCTATTAGTTTTCTCCCTGTGTCTGGACCCTTTTTCTCTGCTAGTGTCATCCAAATGCACCACACTCCTATTAATAACTCTGCCGGGGTATAAATGGTATCTCCAAGGACATTTTTATGTGTGAGAGCAGAAAGCGAAGAAGGACAGAGGAAATTATAAATCCTTTTTTCTTCCAGGTGGAATGGTTTTATATCAGCTCTGATTAGCTTTAATGGCAGCACTGGTTGGGCCTCTTGTGCAGAGGCTTCTGTGGATTTGCCCTAAGTGCAGTGGGAGGTTCATAAGGCTTGTATGCTAACATTAATCAGCTGTACTGAGAAGACTCATGCCCTAATAGTTTGGTTGCACTGTTACGTTTTCTACTGTAAAGCATTGCTTGTGTTCTGTTAAGGTTTGTTCTGTAACATTACTTGTCATTTTATGTCTGGTGCTTCACTTCATTGGTTTGCTGCAATTAGAGGTAATACTTTTACAGTGCTTGTTCTACTATTTAAATTGGTGTTAACACAAGGTTTGTGTAGCGTTATTCAGCTCCTGGTCCTTAGCCTTACCAGTTGCATTTACTATGTTAAAAGGGTGCCACTTTACAATAAGGCTACCCTTATAAAGGGATTATAAAAGGTTTATAAACAGGTTATTAATTAGGTTGTAACACTTTATAAATCATTACTAGACCATTATAAACAAGTTATACCACAGTTTTCTTTTTATTAATGAGTTACTACCATTTATAAGTGTTAAAGGGTAGCCTTATTGTAAAGTGGTACCATTAAAAGTTTTTCTGTTGTGTATGAGATGACTTTAGGGACTTGTGCTCAAAAGCTTTTGTGTTCAGTGTTTCTAATACCATTATGTGCATACCTACACAATGTACACCGATGAGTCAAAACGTTATGAGAACCCCCACATGAAGCAAATAATGTTGATACATACACAGGTCTGGGGTATGTTAGACAGTAAGAAAATATAATATTCTATTAATTATAGCTGACATGTCGAACGCAGAAGAAATGGACAGGGGTAAAGATCTGAGTGACTTTGACGAGCCAAATCATTATGGCCAGAAGTCAGAGCGTCTCTGAAACCGCAAGGCGATACTGGCGCTGGTGATACTGGCGCTTGCGGTCAGCCGCGGCGATACTGGCGCTGGTGATACTGGCGCTGGCGGTCAGCCGCGGCGATACTGGCGCTGGTGATACTGGCGCTGGTGGTCAGCCGCGGCGATACTGGCACAGCGATACTGGCGCTGGCGGTCAGGTGTGGTGAGTAGCTACTTGGAGTGGCCTGGGGAGGGAAAAACCATGAACTGGCAACAGGCTGTCGGGTCACCAAGACTTGTTAATGCGAGATGTGAACGAAAATTAGCCTGTCTGATATGAACCAACAGAAGGCTTTTGTGGAACAAATGGCAGATAATTCTGGGGTTGATCTGGGGAGTGAGGTCACAACAGGGTGCATGTAGCCCTACTTGCATATGGCTGTGTAGGTATATGTGTAGGTATATGTGTAGGTACATGCTGACTCCTGTCCAGGGGGCCTCCATGCACAGTTTTTATTAGATAGTCAACATTATTCACTTTACTTGGGGGGTGGTCATAATGTTTTGGTGTAGAAGTGTTTGTTTGTATATATGAATATATTATGAATGAACTTTGTCACATAGTGCAAGTATAACAAAAGTCTGTTATTTATTTGTTTATTTATTTATGTGTGTCTGCTTTGGCATTCCTTCATTGCTCGTGCCTTCCAAAGCACTTCAGCACCATCAGAAATGAAATCTGACAAACCAACCAGAGGGATTTTATGAGCATAGCCAGTATGTTCTAGTAGGTCTTTATAATTTTTTAAAATCATTTTTGAGTTCTGTCAATTTTAAAAAGCTTAGTGTTATGCCAGTTTTTTTTTAAGATTTGCTAACTTTTCGGCATCACAATAGACCTCTCTTTAATATTTCAGGTGTACTACTAATCTGCTTGCTACATTGTGGGTATTACTAAATGTCCATATACCATGCAGAATAGCAGGCCTTCCAAGAGATTTTGCTGGACGTAAATATGTTGATTTGCCTGTTATCTAAAGCCCTGGATATTGAGATTATAAAATTATCGTGAATATTTGTAGCCACGATAATCGTGTAGTGAAAATCTGAACTCATGACAGCCCTACAATCAACAGTTTTCTGATCCTAATAGCCATATGTTTGGTTTTGAATATTGGCCTAATAGCTATACCTCAGTAGATAGACATGTATGGCTGTGCAGGCTTTCACTCTTTGCCTCAGATCTTGGTTGGTAAGGCAGCTGTGAGCCCCATTTGGGGGGCTACCTTGTCATGCCTTGTGATTGTTTTCAGCCTAACTGCAGCCCTGCATTTTTTTCTTTATCACTTCATTCATGAGTCTGATGAGCTCTTAAAAGTCCTTTTGTTACAACCTGTGTTTTACATTACGAGGATGCAAACTGCTTTAGGTGCATTTGCAGGTCATAGCTTAATAAATCTCTGTGAGGGGGGTCAGATTTTGAGCCCGTATGAACTGATAACTCTATAAAGCAGCTTTATGTGTATTTGTTAGATGTCTGGCAGTGATGTGCCGTCTACAAATAGGGACAGGAAAACAGAAATTAAGGCTTTGGGCATAACCATGAACTAACTTCACAAACGGCCCCTTTTTCTTTGTATAAAGTAAAAAGACTGCTTATTATATTAAAATAATGCACTGGATTGATTCAATGTCAGTTTTTAAGTGTAGTTAACACATTGGTGTTTGTTGGAAATTTCTGATTCGTGACATTATTGTATTGTATTGTATTGTATTACATATATCAAAACAGGAAATAGTAGTGTTGCACTTTAACTTTGCTTTATGTTACTATTTTACTGTTTTAAAAAATATATAAATGCAAACAGTAGGTATATGTTGCTATGCTCTTTATCCCAGAGGTAAAGTTTCCCTTGAGCCTTTAATGTTCTTCATAATGTGTACTGGGTGCATGGGGTCCAGCCTGTCTAGCCAGCCGGGAAGCTACTGGGGGCTACTGCCCCCCCCCCCCCCCCCCCCCCCCCCCCACACACACACACACACACACACACTTTAATGCTGTGTGGTTCTGAGAGCTGCCCTTGTCTTATTCAAATTTGCTCCATTAGCATTCTAAGGTTTCCCATTTTCGGACGTTTTGCCTCATAAGATTTTATAAATTTATGGATGTGGCAGATAAACCATTTCATAGGGTACGAAAGCATGGACCGTTTCTGTGTGCTTGCTGGTGCTGTTGGTATCTGTGCCCAAACGCATGGATACTTCACCCAAAAAAATTTGAATGAATGAATGAATGAATGAATGAATATCTATATGTCATTGCACACATACCGCTGACACTGCACATTGCAATGAGATTAAGTTAGCTTATGTTTGCAATATAGATAAATTGTATAATATATAAATTCCTGCCAGTTTATCATCTTACTCTTAATTCTCATATGTTAATGTGTATTGTTCTGAGCACATATATACTTACTAGCCAGATAAATATCTTTAAATATTTCCTTTGACTGCCTAAGACTTTTGTACAGTACTGTGTGTATACACACACACACACACACACAGACTGTAAATGTTTACTTTTTATTTTTGGAAAAGTTCACACATTCATATCTATTAACACATCAAACTAGCTTTCAGCCCCCCAGCGGGATGGCTGCTCGCTGAACCGAGGTCCTCAGTGACTCAGCTCCGTCGAGAAGGAGATCTTGGCTATACTATCCCCAGACCAGCACTCATTCAGCTGACCACTCAAACACTGCATGCATGTATACACCCCTGCAACCCCCCCCCCCCAGCTCACAAATTCCACTGACACCACATCCCTATTCCAGGACTCTATGTGTTATGGATTCTGCAGCATAGAGACTTTGCCGGTTTTTCCGCCACCTGATATTATTTAATGCTGATTTGTGTATAATGCATTTTTTTCTCTTCATATTTCATATTGAGGTTTCCCTCTCTTCTTGTAGGCTCACATCAAGTTCCCCATAGACTATCCTTACTCTCCACCCACATTTCGGTTCCTCACCAAGATGTGGCATCCCAATATTTACGAGGTAAGGCGCCTTCTTGGCTGGTGAACTAGTAATACACTGGAGAAAAGTCTCAGATGCATTCATGCAGAGATTGTGAGCCATCCAGCTTATTGCTTCCAGAAAATGTTAACCTTCATCACTGACAGTACTGCAGCTGTTAATTATTTGTGTGTCCGTGTTTGAGTTTTTTTTGCTCTTCTTGGGTGTGCTGTGCTAAACCCCTTTGACTTTTGAATGTGTTTGTGTGTCTGTTTCTGACGGAGACTGTTTTCTACAGAATGGCGATGTGTGCATTTCAATCTTACACCCACCTGTAGACGACCCCCAGAGTGGGGAACTGCCGTCTGAGAGGTGGAACCCGACACAGAACGTCAGGTAGGCCAAGTGGAGTCACCTAAACGCTGACCATAAGCTCGTGGTGATAAGGAATGTTGGTATTGATGGCTGTTCTCGGTCTGCTGCTATGTATGTGTGTGTGTGTGTGTGTGTGTGTGTGTGTGTGTGTCTATGTGTGTGTTCAGGACCATCCTTCTGAGTGTGATCTCTCTGCTGAATGAGCCCAACACCTTCTCCCCGGCCAACGTAGATGCCTCAGTCATGTTTCGCAAGTGGAGGGACAGCAAAGGGAAAGACAAGGAGTACGCTGAGATCATAAGGTAGATTTTAAGGCGGTTGTACTCAAGCCATTGGGGGGAATTCCATTGCACAACATGCTGTTTGACACCCCCCCCCCCTTCCCATGCACAGGAAGCAGGTGCTGGCCACCAAAGCTGAGGCCGAGAGGGACGGGGTCCACGTTCCCACCACCCTGGCCGAGTACTGCGTCCAGACCAAAGTGCCTTCCCATGACAGCAGCTCCGATCTGCTGTACGACGACCTATATGATGATGACGTGGAGGAGGAAGAGGAGGATGAGGATGCGGAGGCGGGTGGCGTGGGTGGGGATGCAGGGCCTGACTGCTATGATGATGAAGAAGACTCTGGCAATGAGGAGTCGTGACCCACCTCCTCAGCCACCAGCCTCTGCACATCAGCGCTGTTTTTTTTTTTTTCTGTCAAATGGTCACACTCGCTCACGGCAGACACATGGACTTCCTCGACAATGTCAGATCCTCCTCCTCTTAAGTTGCTCTCAGTGTTGCAGATTCACCAGCATAGCCCAGATCCATGCCCCTCCGGCCACCCCACCTCCATCTGTAGCCACACGGTCCCGCTGCCTGCCAACATGCCTCAGGGTCTCTGCACTAGTGAGAGCGTCACTCTCAGCTGTGTTCCTGCTCTGTCTCTTCCTTGTCTCTGATGCGTTGCTTTTGCTGAGGGATGAGAATGCATGCCAGACCGTGGGAGCTTTGTGTTTTGATGTCTGACAGTTAATACTTTCAGTTCAGGACCAATAACAGATTTGCCTGAACTGCGTATCGTCCAGCAGCTTCCTGCATTTTCATCTGTTTCTTCCTGAGCTGACAGAATGTTTAGTTACCCCCCACAATCAGTTTAAGGTAGTTTTTCCCCAGGGGACAGAGAACAGTACTCTATTTTTTAATAAATACTGGACAGAGATATAAAATTATTATTGAAAGACATGGAAGTGTTTGTGAATGAAGTGTAACTGTCTTAGTGCATTAGAATCTGGGCTGCTGTTCACATGACCAAAAGCCCCATTCTAAAGTGTAATTTGTGTGTAGTGGATAGGTTTATAAGGGTCAGGTGTCCAGGCTGCTCAGTCACCAGGCAGAAAGAGAGCCCCCTTCCCCCCCATACCAAGACCCCAGCACCACCCCCAAAGCAGTATTTCTGCTGGCACAAATCAGGAGAACCAACCTGTCCAATCCCAGAGACCACGCTACTTCTGAACCTGGGTGTATGCTTGATCCACACTATTTTGTGCCTGTGTGTAAGAGAGACTGAAAAGCCAGCTGGATGCTGGATGATTTTCACCCCCATTCCCACAGCCTTCACGCAAACACGCATGCACGTACACGCACACGTGGAAAAAGCTCCTGCAGAAGCCGACGTGTGCCCTTCGTTCTCGGGGACTGGGGGGGGGTTCTCTGCTCCCTGCACCACCTATGTGAAAAATGCCAAGGAAGAATCACTGCATGTATGAAGCTTGTATTTCTTTTGTGTTTCTGCTCCAATCATAACTTGTAAATTGCGTAGAAATTTTTGGAGTCACTTTTACTGTAGACCTCAACCTGGCTGAGCCTCAGCCGCTGTGATCGGTCCACGAACTGTGGCATTTCATGGTCTAAAAAGGAGACTGAACAGAATCAAATCAAGAGAAGCTTCTTCTTCTGTGTTTGCATTGATGTTATGATGTAGCCTAAGGACAAGACATAAACCCACAGGACAGACGGTGCTTGTGGGATCCTATGCATTTGAGCACGAGTGTGAGACCTTCGCCCACTCTGTCTGCGAGCGCAACAAGGTGCACTTTGACGATGCAGTCAGCTGTTTCTGCTTTGCCCCCCCCCCCCAGTGACCAGTGCACAGAGGTGGACATGCAGCTGGCATCTGTCGTGGGGGCTGGACTTCTCTGGGCAGTCATCCACCTTACTGGGATAAAACACACTGTCAATACACTGATAGCAGGAAGCAGAGGCTGTTTTTATTGAAAACCTCTGCTGCTGTCCACTGGCATCCATTTAAAAGCGTGTTTTCTTTCTGCAAAATTAGAGCACGTTAACGGATGAAGGAGACCCTGCGAAAGCAGCACCGGGAAGATATCTGGTGAAAAGTTCTGATGGTTTTTGTTTTTTTTTTTTTTTATTATTATTTCTACTTTTTTCTTGTTTAATTTGATTTGTGTTCTTGTAGTGTTGTGAAATTAAGAAATTAGTGTGACTGATTCACTTAAAAATGCAATCATTTAGATTTTTCAAAGTGTTTTTTTCCGTTTCTAGTAATGCATAGTGAATATAAGTTGGAGGGCAACCAAAAATGAATCCAAACAATTAGAATTTTGTGATTTGATCACTGAATGAACTTGTATAATGTTTTGTGGTGATTGGCAAAGAAGTATTCTGGAAACCTTGACATTAAAAGCAAAGATTTACACGCTAACAGCAGTTCATAAATTATTACCAGTTTTCATTTGACTGAGCTGAAAATAGTTTGGCAGTTTCATTGAGTCTGTATTTCGGTTCAGTCTCATGTAGCTTCAGTCAACCAGAATGAATGGCATGTTTAAACTTTTTAACAATGTAAGCCATTGATCACTGTTTTGTCTTTGATTCACAGACCAAAATTGACAGTACTCCAATTTCAAGTGGTTTCACTCAGTGTTTTGATGAACTTCTTTATGGAAGGATTTTGTAAATGTGAATGCTGTTGTTCACCATACCAAATGACTTGCTGAGCCATGATATGGGAACCAGTCTGTCTCCACAGAGATGTACTTGGTTATTGTACCTTTTAAAAAATCTCGCAGGCATAAGGACAGTTTAATAATGTTGTGATTTTTTTATGGCCTAGTGATTTAGTGAAATTAGTGGTGACATTCATTTCATGCAAAGCAGTATTTAAAAAGCAGTACTTAATTCAAAAAAGTTCTGTATTTCACCATGTTGAATATCTTTTATGCCAGTATTATACTGTAGATTAATAATGCAAAATAATATAAATCTGTAACACAAGCTGTACTGAAAGACAGAATTATACTCCAGCGCGATTGTTGATTCCATTCGTGTGAACACAATCTGCTCAATGAAACATGCAGATTATGGTTAATTCGCCGCTTGGCTCACAAAGGACGTTTAAACATGATAGCTGCCTTATCAGAATACAGTATCAGTTTTGTTTTGGACTATTTAGAGTCCTTGTAACAACAATGAGATTATGAATAGACTGATTGGCCTGGTACACAGTATTATAGTACAAACATTTTGTGGGCCCTCCCCTTTGTGACTGCCCTTATTACCCCTCTCACAGGTATAAGTATTGTTGGCATTTGGCAAGATATGTTAAACAATGTTTCCAGCTTTTGTAAATCACGACTATTTTACAGCTGGTTTAATGAATATATTTATTCAAACAAATTAGTGTATTTCCTTATTAAAAACATAAAAAAATAGCCTATTGCTTAAGTTTGAAGGTTAATTAACGATGTAGGCAGTAGTGAGCGTGTCTGCCCCGCCACATTCAGTTGTGAGATGCCTCACTCCAGTGCTGTCAATTTCTGTATGATCTGGGGGATAACTGGTCTGGCTACAGTTTTTCTTGTCTTTGAATTATTTTCCTTTAATCTTTATAATGGTATGCAAGTGTGTGTGTTTATCCTTAGTTTTAACAGGATGTTCTAAAATAAGATGAAACACTGAAAGGAACAGACAGAATTCTGTGTGCTTGTCTAATACACACATTTAAGGGGAAAAAAATGTTCCACATCACCTACTTTTTTCCATTGGTTTTAATTGAAGTTATTTTGTTTGTCACATTGTCTTTCTCTGGGTTGGTAGTTTCATCTAAAATTCCTGTAAGATTCAAGTAGCACTCCTCCATGTAGGTTGTTTTCTGTCTTACTCATGAATAACAATGTGAAATAAAGTATGCTGTACTATTGTTAACTGTTTATTTACATCCTCTCAAAGATGACAGGGAAATCCATTGCACTAAATGCATTGACAGGCATGGAGAACAGTATACATTGTAGAATTACTGATTAGTATGACTAATTCTTTCCTTCTGCCATCAGGAAGCGCTGTGCATCACGCAGAGCCTCCTGCATCTCTTCATGCTTTGCCAGATCACAAGCTTCTTCCAGTCCTGCCCAGCGAAAGGCCTGATGCTCCTTAGACAGGGTCACTTGTGTCTCTGGGTCCTTCAGCTCAGCCAGCCAGTACAGAACCTCCTTGTCCCTCCCTTTAACTTTGTACTGCAGCTCCTTCAGGAAGCTGCTAATAATGTTCAGCTGCCCCGCCCTCAACCCCGCCTCCTCCTCAGTCTCTCGCAGGGCAGTTGTCAAGTCGTCTTCTCCTGGGTCAACATGCCCTGAGGTGAGAAGAGCAAGGATAGATACTGTCTTACCTGAGGTAATGTGTCATCCCTCTAACCTGCTGGGGAATACCTAGAAATTCACATTCTGGCTTGCAGATAATATGGAAATTTCAAGTGCCTATCACCGGTAACTTAACAACATCTGTGAGTTGAATGAAGTGGAATCCAGTGTCACCAGCTTTCAGAGTTGGGTAATTCAGGTCCAGAGAGTAAAATCCCAGATCGGGATTTTGTTTCAACCAACTAGTTGAGTACTCTGTGACTCTGACTCTTCATGCTCAACTGCTTGGTTGAAACAAAATCTTGGTCTGGACTTTTACTCTCTGGACCTGAATTACCCAACTCTGCCAGCTTTCTATCACGAATGAGCACTGCTCCACAGAGCGTTGAAGCAGATATTAATATAAGTATGCTAGTTGGTTACAGTCATGCATTGCTTAATGAGGATACATTCTAAGAAATGCATCGTCAGGCAATTTCGTCGTCATGCAAACATCATAGAGTGTACTTACACAAACCTAAATGATACAGTCTACTACACGCCAAGGCTATACCGTATAGCCTAAACGATAATAAAAAAAATACAGTGTAGTAAATATATAAACCAATATTTTTGATAATGATAAAGTATTATGTACTGTGCATAATTTTGTGCTATAAATGTATGTGCTATCATATTATGCGACTGCAGTGGTGCAGTAGGGTTATTTACGCCAGCATCCCCACAAACACGTGACTAGTACCTTTCATTATGACATCACAAAGCTCCATCACAATCTTATGGGACCGCAGTCATATATGTGGTCCATCACTGAGCGGTAAATGACTCTATTAAGTTATGAATATAACTACTCAATCTTATATCAGGTACGACAGTGACGGAAGGCATAAACATATATGTTAATACCATGTGTACCTTTTGGTGGAGTCCAGTGATGGCGTCCATATGAGGTTTGTAGAAGAAGGTACTGGATGTTATCAGGAGGATGAAACTGACTCAGCCGCCGGAATACGATGAATCCGCAAGCCCGCAGAGCCATGGGACGTTCTGAGGTCAAAGCAGATGTACTCTGCGAAGAGATGGAGGACCACAAAGGCAGCCCAAAATATTAAATTTAACATGTAGCATGTGACATCAGGTGCAGTGTCTTTTCAGAAAACATCTCATACAGGTGATGCAAGGAGCTGAAGGTGCTGTTTTTTTCTCTCCTTTGCTGTCCTTCAAAGTAGACGGGATCAATGAGCCAGGAATTTCTCCAGTTGGATGCAACTGTGTTTCCCTGCCAAATAAGACTTCTGCATAGAATCGAGCCCTGTTTCATGGCTATGAGATTCTCTTAAGTAGACACTAAAGGAAGTTGCACCTAAACAATATGTTTTTGTACTGTAGGATGTAACCCAGTTAAGGACAGAGAGCAGATACAAACTGAACACACACAGTTAGGATCCAAATGAAATCCACAATCTTTGATGTGTGAGTGACTCTGCATTGTGCGCAAAGGACAAAAAAATATTTCTGCATCAGTACAGCTATTGGAAAAACTATTCATACAATTTTAGGAACCAAATCACTGAGTTTTTTTTTCGCAGCTTAGTACACTTTCCAACTGCACTGGCAAAATAACAGTTCACAGACAGCCCCTGGGTTAAGAACGTCCGACTTACGGACAACTCATACTTACGAACAGACTGTAATAATACCTATTATATATTAAAAAAATCTAAGTTCGTAATAACGAGTGCACGCACACTGCGGTTTCATTGGTTCGTGAGCTTGAGGTACGGTACAGGGGTGAGTTTCCCGAAGCGTTCTTAACGCTACGTCATTCTTAAGTTCTGTGTTAAAAGATAGAACTAACGAACGACGTAGCGTTAAGTAGGCTTCGGGAAACTCACCCCAGTACAGTAAATATATACTATATGCTAAGACTGAGGCCAAGAATCGTATGAACCTGTCCCGACTTACCTACAAGTTACCTAAAGTCAGACTTTATGGAAGGGATTTCGTTCGTAACCAGGGCCTGCTTGCATTCCGATTGGCCGTTTCTTCACGTTGGTAGAAACTAATTACTTCCGGTGTTACATATTCAAGCCCCCCCATGTTTCCCACCGACCACGTTTAAGTGTAACACTAAAACTGCCTACGTGTTTTGAGTGGTTGCAGCTCCGATTTTCTACCGAAGACCTTGGATTTAGCGCAGAATCCCGAGTTAAAAGCGTGAACCGGATCACTTTCCGTTCCAGAAACCGAGATTAGGCAGAGCGTCATATAATATTCATAGCCACAATAGCTCGGAACCAGAGCTCTGGGCAGCGGTTTAGCTGAATGAAACTAGGATTTAAAGCCGGTGCTGCGATTGTGTCAGCACAGTTCGGCGGTTTGATTCCCCCTTTCTTAAAGAGATGGACGACATAGAGGCGGAAATTCTCCGGTTAGACCTTCTGTTATTTCTTGGCCATTATCTTTGTGAACGGTCGCGTTTCTAAAAAGTTAAATACGTTTTAAAAATATTTACCGTTTCTCATCCCAGTCCATGACTTAATTATTCAGTAGTCTGATGTTCCCCTGGGGTCAGTAACATTTAACTTAATTTAATTTGATTTGTTTAAAGTTTCTTATTTATCTGGATGCTCGTTTTCAGGCTCTTATTTTGAAACATCACACACCGTAGATGTGCACTTACATCTAAACACGCTTTATGTTACCCACCGTTTTTTCCCTACAGGAAGCCTGTATGGAGACCCCGAACACATTGCATGGCAAAGCAACAGCATGTCGGGCTATCCACAGTATATGCGTTGCACTCAAAAGGCTACTACATATTTTTCTCGTTTTCCCGAACATACACCTCGCAGAATAATTAAAGGATAGTTCCACCAAATTGCAGGTTTGTCATCTAATACAGAAATATTTATTACTGACATCACTGAGCGATTTATCTCAATGAATAAATATAATTATCTAAATATTGCAGGATTCACTAATACCTTGAATGCCTAGATGGAAGTAACGATCCCATCACTGTAATAAAGTAGCAAATGAAGGAGATTACATTAACACGCAGTCTTTACACAACATTAATGTGCAGGTAGTGTCAGTACACTTTATTTCCAATTCAAAGATTTATTTCCCAGTCTTATTAGGGCCTATATGTGTTCACTGACAAGATGACACAGATGATATTTAATGCTCCAGAAAAATGACCTGACTCTGTCCATGACTCGTGGATTTATATGACAAATTGGATTGTATGACAAATTTGCGCAGGGCACATAATTAATCTGTACGTGACTTAAATTGAGAGTCCATCCTGCTGAACCACACGTTTAGCCAGAGGAAGAACAAACATTCCATCTCCCAGACCTCAGAGATGGCAGAGTTCTCAGGGATATCAGTGCAATTAACCGTTTTTCTTGGCAATCACTCACAACCACCACAATAAATGAAATAAAAACAAATCCACTACAGTTTCATTCATGTGGCATATTACTGTGTGCACATTAAGATGATACAATTTTCTTGGTCATTTTACAGCAATTAAGAATCATCCAATTATTGACGACCACAAAATTCACTTTTAACTGGTGTTACAGAATTTCTAAACTTTTTTTCTTTTTAAAAGATTAATATGCTTCATCTGGAGATACCACTTTTTTGCTTGTCCAGATGGACCATATGTTGTTCCTCAAAAGACAACTAGGAAGTAAACATTTAAGTTCTGAGTGTCATACTTTTAAGTTAAACTTAAACATGTCATACTTTCACTTATACACAGGACATTAGGAATAAGTTTATACTGTGGTGAGTCGTGTCGTTGAAGTGAATGGACCCTCAACATCTTCGGATGTGTCAGCCAAACTGTGCAAATGCAAATTGGCTCCGCTATTCGGATCCATCTCGTTGGAACTGTTTTGTTACCAATATATGCGCATTTATTGGCTTAAGTCATGAATAGTTTGCCATCAGCCCCCCACCCCCCCTAATAAAGGTTCAGACCCTCTATCCATTCATCTCTAACTACTACAGTTAGAGTTAACTATTCATGTTAAATATTCCATCCGTTATATTAGATAATTTTTTTGACCACACCGGTCTGATGAATTTTAAATAAAATTCGAGTGATCCACTTACGCTTCGGCTAGTTGTGCATTTACTTCAGCTAGTCGATTTTTAGTTTTGCACCGTCTCTCTCTACATTGCTACAGTGTTACTTTTTCCTTACAATAAATGTATACTCTATACGCAGAAGTTAGTACTTTTAACATAATCAGCACTGACATATACATGTAATCACTGGTCTATACCTAGTGAGCAATTGCATTATTGGTATAGTATAGATCCTACTACCACTACAGAGCCTCGTACTATCTGCTTTCCAAGTATTAACTGTCACTTGAGAAATGTGCCGAAGCAATCGAGAAAAATGTAACATGGCTTATAACTAAATTATTACAGGGTCAAAAAGAAAATTTGACCCCTCAAGGTACATCCGGTGATGCGTCATGTTCAGTTCAGAAGTAAAGAACCGATTACTAAGAAAGAGATAAAAAATAACCGCCCAATTCAGTGTAACGTAGATAAGCGCTGGTCGGTGCCCCATTATCTACACGTGTACGGCACACAGCAAGACCTTCACATGAACCTCCGTTTGAATGAAGACAGAGAAGAAGGAACTTAAACTAACGGGACATCTTAAAGGTGAGACTTAAAACGAAGACAGAAAAAAAGGTCATGACTGAAGTAGTGTGAAGTAGAATCTATTTTTTTATAACGACATCTGTTTTTTACTTATTTATTTTCTTAACGATGCCTTAATGTTGTTACATTGTTGTGTTGAAATATGGTAGAATATGCCGTTATAAGAGTATCTGGTGTTAAGCATACAGATACAAAATTAAGAAAAGTACTGTAAATGTCCCATGACACTGTAAATAACATGTAAGGCTATGTACAGTAATGAAGCTATGCTCAAAATGGGTCTGAAATATAACCTTAAAACGCCAAAAATGAAGAATAATCCGCATTACAGCTCTTTTAGTAAATCCACAGGTGAGTATAATGAAGACCGCTTAAGGAATCCAAAAATCCCCTTAAAACCGAATGGTTTCTCTTTTTCATACAGCATCATCTAATTTGCATGGACAAAGCATAATGTATATGACATTTCTATAAACAGTTACATAATATGTTTTGTACTGGTAAAAATGTTTGTAATTTCATAATATTTTCCACCCCAGTGAAATAAGTCTTTGGACTATTGAACTGGTGTAGGTTAGGAATTGTAACTGTACTGCACTGAAAGTTTAAAAGTTACTAAGGATAACAATTAATATGATTTGTGACAAATAAATGGGTTTACTTGGAATTCCTACAAGTATTAACTGGTACAGTATTCCTTATTGTATATAAAAATACTTGGTTTTCTGAACATTTGAATTTCAGTGCAGTGTGAGTACAATAAAATGCAAATGGAAATCTGTTATTGCATTTATTAAAGAAGGACTGTAGGTTAAGAGGATCACCGTTGGAATCAGTCATGTCTGCCACAACAAAGCGGGAAAAGCTAGCAGAATCGTACTTTATTGGGAAGAAGGAAGAAATAATTAAGACTAAACGGATAACAAAATTTGTTCATGGGAGGGATATTCTTGTTATCCACCACAAAGGAACATTCTACGCCATGGACTTGCATTGTTATCGTGAGTATAACATCACATTTCTCAAAAGCAGGTCACTTCAAATCTTCAAATTATGATTTTTTAAACAATGTTAAACTCATTATCATTATCTGTGAACAAGTAGTGTATTTTTTTCCCAGTGACACTAATTCTCTAAGTGCAAACTGAGTTTTTTTTCTTGCTCTGTTTGTCACTGCATCAAACAAAACATTGATTACCTAATAACTGTAGCTGAGCTTTTCACAAGAGAAGATATGCTACATTGTAATTTGTGTTGCGCTGTTGTCTCTGAAGTGCACACAAAAATTATCTTAAAAGACTAATAAGATGCGTTTTTAGCTCTGTGGGCTTGGACTCATGATCGGAAGGTCACTGGTTCGAACCCAGGGGACAGCAGACTGATGCCACAATTGGGTCCCAGTTGTTCTCTGGTCAGCTGTGCTATGAACCCTAAGCTTGGTCTCACCTATATGTGTGTCTTATGGAGAGCACAATGGGGATTTGTGAAAATACAATTTCCCAAATAGGATGAGTAAAGTATTCATTTTCTATAATCCTGCTGAATGAATAAGTTTAATTATAAGTATAAGTTGGTTACGTTTCTGTAGATTGCAAATTGTATTGTATTGTTGCAACAGATTCAATCTGTGTTTTATTGATTTGCTTTTCTTTAATTCACATTAACATGTATTTACCAGAGGTGGAAAGTTCAGGTACAGAAAGTGTAAATCCAGACCAAAATTTTGTTCCAACCAACTAGTTGTTTACTCTGTGAGTGTGACTCTTTATGCTCAATTGGCTGGTTGAAACAAAATCTTGGTCTGGATTTGTACTGAACCTGAACATTCCGCCTCTGGTACTTATGTGTTGTGATCTTAAGTTGTTACTGTGTGTTTCTGTGTATTTACTTTCACACAATTGAAAACTAGGGTTTTCTAAGTGGAAAGAAAAGCTGTTATATTATAGTTAATGTTTTATACAGATGGTGAAATACTCTATATTGCCAAAAGGACTGGGATACCTGCCTTTGCACACACATGAACTTTAATGACATCAAATTCTTAATACATAGGCCTTAATATGGAGTTGGCCCAACCTTTGCAGCTATAACAGCTTCAACTCTTCTGGGAAGGCTGTCCTCAAGGTTTAGGAGTGTGTTTATGGGAATTTTGACCATTCTTCCAGGAGAGCATTTGTGAGGTCAGGCACTGATGTTGGACGAGAAGGTCTGACTCGTAGTTTCTGCTCTAATTCATCCCAAAGGTGTTCTATCGGGTTGAGGTCATGGCTCTGTGCAGGCCAGTCAAGTTCCTCCACACCAGACTCGCTCATCTATGTCCTTATGGACCTTGCTTTGTGCACTGGTGCGCAGTCATGTTGGAACAGGAAGGGGCCATCCCCAAACTGTTCCCACAAAGCTGGGAGCATGAAATTGACCAAAATGGTTTGAAATGCTGCAGCATTAAGAGTTCCTTTCACTGGAACTATGGGCCCCAAGGCCAACCCCTGAAAAACAACCCCACACCATAATCCCCCCTCCAGCAAACTTTACACTTGGCACAATGCAGTCAGGCAAGTACCATTCTCCTGGCAAATGCCAAACCCAGACTCGTCCATCTGATTGCCAGACAGAGAAGTGTGATTCATCACTCCAGAGAACACGTCTCCACTGCTCTAGAGTCCAGTGGCGGTGTGCTTTACACCACTGCATCTTACGCTTTGCATTGCACTTGGTGATGTAAGGCTTGGATGCAGCTGCTCGGCCATGGAAACCCATTCCATGAAGTTCTCCATGCACTGTTCTTGAGCTAATCTGAAGGCCACATGACGTTTGGAGGTCTGTAGCTATTGACTCTGCAGGCAGTGGGCGACTTCTGCACACTGTGCGCCTCAGCATGCGTTGTCCCCGCTCTGTGATTTTACGTGGCCTACCACTTTGTGGCTGAGTTGTTGTTGTTCCCAATTGCTTACACTTTATTATAATACCATTAACAGTTGACCGTAAAATATTTAGTAGTGAGGAAATTTCATGAATGGACTTATTGCACAGGTGGCATCCTATCACGGTACCATGCTTGAATTCATTGAGCTCCTGAGAGTGACCCATTCTTTCTGCATGCCTAGGTGCTTGATTTTATACACCTGTGGCTATGGAAGTGATTGAAACACCTGAATTCAATGATTTGGTGTTTAGTGCATAAATATTTTAAAAAAAAACTTTTGGAACCGGCCAACAAAGAAAGCTTAAATCAAATAACAGGAATGTTTGTTATTGTATTTCTTTCTTTCTTCTATAACATTTCTATAACATTTATGCAATTATTATTATTATTGTTGTTGTTGTTGTTATTTTTCATTTCTACTCTATTTGACAGATGCAGGAGGTTCACTGGAAAATGGAGACATTGAGGCAAGACATTTCAGTGTGAAACTAAACCTTTTAGTTATATCCAAGTCTTACTACTATTTAATACTATAATACTACTATACATATAATATTGTGTAAGAATGTGTTCTGTTTTACACACAGGAATTTGACAACAAACTATGCATTGTTTGTCCATCACACAAGTATAAAATCACTCTGGGAGAAGGGGAGGGCATTTACAAAGCCACGAATCCGAGAGACGATGTGCCAACACCCAGGTGGTATTCCAAGGGAATCAAGCAAAGGATGCATGCTGTCAAGGAGGTGGATGGAGACATTTTTGTCATATTGTCCTCAATGCCCGGATGGATCGAGTCTGACTACTACCAGACGGAGAAGTACAGAAAAGAGAGATCTTCTTGTAGTTCTCATGGGCCAAGCTGCTGAAAAACCAGGATCCTACAGGAGACCTGCCCAGTGTGGACTATTTCAAATTGATTTGCGAAATCATTGCTTATCTCATAAGTCTTTTGGCTGCCTGTAGTTGTATGGAAAGAAAAATTGATGGAGGCACTGTGATGCCTGATCTCTTAAGTACCAAATGCTCAGGGTTCAGGGTGATGGAATTTCGATTGAATCTAAATCCCTGTATTTAAAGAAATGAAATCTGTACATGAAAAAATATTTTAGAAGAAATTGATGTCAGAAAATTGGTCTTCTTTTGTTCCTACTCTGACTTGGTGATTATGAGTTTTTGTTTAAAAATAAAGCATTTTTTTATTTAAAACAAATCACAAGCTTTGATGTTTCTTAGTAATGTTTATGGTGGTTATAATGAAATATGATGTACAAAATAGTCAATGATAACAGAGACTGAGATTGTTAAAGAGTTCTACCTTGTAAGTCTTCTATAAAGATCTCCACTAATTTTCTTGATCCATTTGTGGTGGTTGCAACATTTCTGTAAGTGACGAGCCTGAGAGAGCATTTATGATTGGGCCATTGAAATGATGTCCCCTCTTTTTTGGCTTCTGGAGCTGATTGCTGTGCTGGTCAGTATAGAGCTGGAATCCATGCCACTGGCTTCCGCAGTGGGTTTCATCCCTCCAAGCTTAACTTAATATGCATCATCCAGTGTATGTATAAGTCATACAGCATTGGCCTATGTTGAATGTGGCATTTTGCTCCGAAAAAACATCTCGCCTATTGGACCGTCAACTATGTAAACAAAACAAAAAAAAAGCCATTATTACAACTCCAGCTCATTTTATATCATGAATTATAATTTATGTGTAAGACTAAGTGAATATGTGGATCATTCATTTAGAGTGGGAATTCAGGTGGATACATTTTCAAAAATCAATTTCATTAATCCCAAAATAAAACCACCTTAATGTGTCAGTTAACATGTCCTATGGCCCAGTGGGCTAAGTCTTTTTTACTGTGATCAGAAGATCGCTGGTTTAAGCTCTGGCATCTGCAGAATAGTGACATGTCCATGGGACCTTTAGCAAGACCCTTAATGCCCAGGTCCAGGGGTCCTGCACATTGGCTGACCTTGTGCTGTGACCCCCAAGCTATGGAGAGCAAGATGGTGTAGGTGAAGGGAAGTCATCCACTGTACTGTGCACAGGGGCGTTGCTAGAGATTTTGGGCCCCCAGTCCAAACCAATCCAGTTATTTTCCTAATTTTTTAGGGCCCCTGTCACTCAGGGGCCCTTGGAATCATCCTAGCTTTCCTCCCCCTTACGGCGCCCCTGACTGTGCAAATGGCCTATAAAGCCTGCTTGCTTGTTTATCATACTTGCAATACGAAGATCATTCCAAATATATTTTGACTGTAAAATACAAACTTTATCATGACTGAATATAATACCAACTATAATACCAGTGATGGAACAAGTGGTTTTATTTTCTTTTACAAAATGGCAAAATCAACAAAAAAAATAAAATCTAATTTCCATATGAATTAGCTTTTAATTGTTCTAATCATTTATGACATTAACATTAGTCACTGGTGTCATAGATATGTTGTAATACCAGTGACATTCTGGTTAAAATGGATTTTTCGTTTTAATGGCTACCCCATTGTGCGTCAGGTGACCGTGTGCAACTATTTAAAATCAATTATATAAAAGATATATTGGATTATTTAGACAAAAATACTCATCTTCTCATTCATTGAGATGCTTCCTCGATGATGACTCTTGTTCCGAGGAAGCAGTTTAATTGATGTAATATGTGTCCAAATACCACCAATGACCGAAATCTCTGTGACAAATGTATTTTTAAATACATGTAGTACAATGTTCATGATAAATGTAGTACAACCTGAACTCTTCTGTATGATGTCATTAGTTATATCTTTTAAAAATGGCTTTATATTAAAATGATTTCTCAGTTGTTGAACTTTGTTTATGACAAGCAGTTTTTACAGGAACTCTGAAACATAACAGAAAGAAATCAAACAAATCATCGGCGAAAGGTGTCATTTAATCAGACATCAGCTGTGTCCATGCACATGCTGACTCTTAGAGCAGTGCCCGATGCATGTTTAAGCCCAGCGACCTTTGTGACATGGTTCCCCACTGTAAATGGAGATATAAGGACCCGTGTACGTCTGTTGGTTGCACTTCACGATGTAGATCTACAGCCGTTTTTTTTCCCGGAACAATGCAAATGTTTTTGTCTATCTCGTAGACTGTCAGATGTGTGACGTCACTGTAATTATAATTTTAATCTCTAGGTCAACGTTGTGTTGTTTTTATTTCATCTTCTTCCACATCGCCTTCAACTCATTAGGCTTAAAGCCTATTTCACCATCTTGAACAACAGATTCATTTTTATTCTTTGTATCGAGTGAAAGGTTGTATCAATATATTCGTCGCGAAACACGAGTTCAGTGTCGTAGAAAAATGTATACGGTGTACCTATGATTCCGGACATTACCAACCTTTGGCTAAATATCAGCATTGTTTTCTGTTTCACCTGAAATAACCTCTTCTGAACACGTGCAACTATTCTGTGCTGATTATTTATTTATTTTAAGGTATGAAGAATATTTTCATAAATCCATTTTATTTGAATTACTAGGCTATATATGTCTCACAAAGATGACATTCAAATCATGCTTAAAACAATGCTCATCATATAACATCGTAAATACAGCCTATACAGTATATCACTTTGATTAGAAATACTTTTCGTTTTTATACCTTTTTTGGGTTGTCTGATACTGGATCGTCATTATAGCCCAATCGGTATTCCGAACCATATAGGAAAACTCCTCCCATGCCAATTCACTCAACTGGATTACCAGAATTAACAATAATTAACCCCAAAAGGCTGAAAATGCCGTTTTCGGGAGTGTTACAATAAGTGTAAGGCGGTGTGTATAGTTGAGAGCCCCGCTGTTGTAATTGCCGCGTTGGATCCCCGCTCTTGCTGAGTCAGGACCCCCGATCCTCCCGACAACATGATCCCTTCACTCTCTCAGCTCCTCTTATGTTTCTACCTGATGATCTTCTTCTTTTCTCTTCCAATGACGTCATTTAAAGATGGACTATGATGCGGGGTGTGTTGCCGAAGATCCCGTACTGTTTATTCTTGCGTTTTGCTCCCTTTTCGCTCCTTAAACTTGGGCTGCTTTAAGCGCAGCGTCCTGCTAAACGGTGCGGGCTGGCTGTGCTCCTTTCTTTCTTTCCTGTTGTGTTTTTACAGTCTCTGCTGCGGCTCCATTGCGGACAGGACACTTTAATCTGGGCTGTTTTTGAATGAACGACAATAACAAGGGCAGAAGAAAACAAAACTCTTCTGTTTTCATTCCGTTCTTGAAATGACTGATATGCGGGATTAAAAATCCCGACCTTCACTGCTGGGGAAAAACCCATTTCTCCGCAGACTAAATGTGAAATCTTAGCGCTGGGTACGTGTTTGCCAGGATTTCTTCAAAAGAGTCGAGGCGGGGTGACCATGTAAGTTATGTTTTATATCCAGTATTAAATCATGGTAAAATTGTACTATATTTTTTATCTGTTTTCGTTTCGCTTTCACACGTTATTGCACCACGTGTAATTAATAAAATGACATAGGAAAATAAAGCAACAATATGATGTTAATATTTCTTTTACCATTCTAGTAACAATGACTTTAGAGGCATTTGCTCGGTTCTTTTGAGCTTGCCTCCAGTGATAATGCATCACTTTGTCTTCGTGGTAAGCATAGTTAATTAGCAACAGAATAAAGACTGGACTTTTTTTCTCCCCATGATAGCGCGTTTGTTTTTCATCTTGAGTGCACAAATACCGCCTTATGTTGGTTTTATGCTTTCATTGTCAGCTAAAATTCAGCCGATCACTTTATTTCTCCAACTTATTTCAATTTACACGTTTTTGTGATTCATACTGCCTGTTTGCACACACAAAGCATTTTATCTATCTATCTATCTATCTATCTATCTATCTATCTATCTATCTATCTATCTATCTGTCTGTCTGTCTGTCTGTCTATTTAACATATTGTTTATTTCTATCTAAAACATTTCACCACACATTTCAGTAAGTCAGTCATGTTCACCACTTGACTTTGTCTGCTTCTTCTACTTGCTGGCGATTGCTCAGGTCTGTCCACATTGTGGCCCTGGGCTGTGAGCGCCCAGGTCACAACGCCACGGAGGAGGAGCCAGGACACGGCCAGGGTGGCCTGCTCTGGAGCTACCTGGGCTGGGGCATGGTGGGCGTGATGAGGGGGCGCTGGGACGTGGTGGACGGCGCCCCCCAGGGGGCCATCGCTGCCCCATGTCACCACACACTGAACACGGCCTTCGCCGAGTACCAGGCTCGTGTTCTGGGTGATGTCAGGGTGGTGCTGCACGATTGCCCCCGTTGGGTGAGTGATCTGGGGGGCCCAGCTGCCCCCACCTGATGGCTGAAGGTGAAATAGGGGTCAGGCTTGCAGAATCACTCACTGGAAGTCAGCTGCAGTGGTAGGGGGTTCCCCTGAAGTTTGTGGCTCACTCAGTCCCCCAGGAAGAAGGCTGAGGCAATATTCTGTCCATCTTCTAAACAATTATCCTAGTTATGGGGGAGGCCTGACAGTGCACAAGGATGGGATGCAGGGTGCATGCAATGCTAGTCCATTGCAGGACACATGCATGCATGCGTGCATGCATGCATGCACGCACACACACACAATCACACACTTAGAGACACCAGTTAACCTAACTGCATGTCTTTGGACTGTTGCAGGAAACCTGTGTCTTGGTAACAATAAATCATTATTTGATTGATTTATTAACTGATTGGTTAATAAAATAATAATATTGCTGCTAGTGTAAAACCTCTTTCTCTTCTGTCCCTTTACTCAGGACCTTCTGGACAGTAACTGGGTAACCACACAGAGTTTGCTGGAACAGGCCGACATTCTGGTCATTAAGTACTCCGTGAATGACAAGCTCACCTTCCAGCAGCTGCGAGACACTTATGGGCCACGCATACGCCCGCTGCTGCGTCACTGGGCCATCCCCGTCGTCGTGGCGGCTGTGGGCGCCCGCCTTAATGGTTAGTGCTCGGCTGTGATCTGTTTCCTTTTGCTTTATGCCTGAACGTGAAGCAGGGTTATCCTATTATAAGACGATTTGCTGAAACCTCAGTAATTGAGTCTTTTCTACAGACCCATGCAAAAGTCTTTGACAGTCAAAGGAAATGATGTATAAATGGTCTTCATGTTGCTATAAAACTATGACATTATGTCTATCAGTGTGTTAGCTTAACCATTTCAAAACCTCTTCGAA